ATAGGTATTTTGTTTTCTGAAGCAATTGAAATAATGGTGCCTACAGAATTTTGGCTTCTCAAGTGATCTGCCATAGAATAGGCACTATCCAACTAAAGTATTGTAAGTGCCACAGCCTAAAATTCAGCTTCAAAAATGAACACTGTCATGTGACAAACCCCAGTCACACAGGGAAAGCTTCCAATTAGGTATTTTTTATTAAAAATGGTGTGGGAGTGAAAAATCATGGCAGCTTAAAGCTCCTACTGAATGAAGCAGAAAAAGTCTTTCTTCCTCCCTCTCTCTCCTCCCTTCCTTCCCTTCCCCTCCTTTTCCTTCCTTTATATTTCCTTTTCTCTCTTCTTTCCTTCTTTTCCCTCCATGGGGGCATTACCCAGTTGAGCATGGGCTAATGATCAAGACTTTCCCAGGCAGAGAATCACTGCTGGATAAATGAGTACTCTATAAAGCCATACAAGGTTGGAATGACAAACCAGGGGCCTTTCGAATGCATAGCTCATTTCCCACAGAACATTAGGTGAATCCCATTATTGTGTAAGATGATAGAAGACTGGTTAACCAGCATGGAAATCTTCTGTAGAATTTGTATGTCTAGTTCCCATATGGTTTTAGTTCTATTATTGTAACTGCTTCTCTTGTACATAATGTATAATTTCATTCTCACTACTTTTAAGATCCTATTTATTTGTCTTTAATTTTCAGAAATTTTATTATGCTGTATCCTACTATGGACTTTCCTGGGTTCATCCTATGTGATGTTCTTTCAGCTTCTTTCCTCTGTAGGCTTATGCCTTTTGACAAATTTTAAAACTCTCCAGGCATTATTTACTCAAATACTGTTCCATGCTTAAATTCTTTCTCCCATTATCTAGGATAGCAACACCAAGGATATTATATCTTTTTTTATACCTCCACATGTCCTTGAATCTCTATTTATTTTTTCATCTTATTGCTCAAATTGAGTATTTTTAGGGGTTCTGTCTTCAGCTTCCCTAATTTCTTCTCTTGTCCCTATCATTCTTCTCCTGGGATCATCACTGAGTTTTATATACAGGGTGGGGCACAAATAGGCATGTTTACAGAATCATGGCCACTTTAGATTCTTTGAAGGGTGTTTTTAATAACAATGTCATCTTGGTGATAGTGATAGTTGGGGTTTTTTCTCTTATAAGTTCAGATCTTTGCTGGTCCTTGGGATTAAGAGTGACTGTGATTAAAACCTGTATATTTTGAATATTATGTTATGAGATTTTGAATCCTGCTTAAACCTTCTCTTTTACCAGTTCTCCTCAGAGCTCTGGAGTAGGGGAAAGGGACACTGTCTCATTATTGCCAGGTACAGTTAGAAATACAGGATCCACTCACACCTACAATGTGAAGGTTCTTAATTACTATAAAGATCAGAAGATAACAACCTCTCCACTAACCTGCTCATACCATTTCGATGAGAGTGGAAGTGTGGTCACATTTTTTTCTGTGTTATTTGGCAGAAATAGAGTAGTCATTGTTTAAGAGTGTACTGCATTGCTAGGTTATTCCTTTGGCTAAAGAAATTAGGCTTATCATGAGAGCTTCCTTTTGTCTATGCCATTTGGTATTTCTGAGTTACTGACTACTCTAGCACCCAGTTGAGGATATATGAGGTCCCTAGCTGGTCTGCCTTTCTCTTTCCAGCTTTCAAAGTATTCTTAGTTTGCTTTTTATATAACACCCAGGTTTTTAAACTATGTATAGCATAAAGAAAAGGGGAAAGCATATCCAGTCTGTCCTTCTATAACCTTAAATCTCTATTTAGTAGTTTTTAACCATAATGTAATGCACTTATGTTTTCCTTTATATTATTCACATATATCATTTAAGAAATCTTTAATTGTGCCAGGCACGACACCTAATATTTCTCTGAGGACTTTATTAAAACATTTTAATCTCCAACTTCTTCAAAATAATATTTCCTATTTTATTCTAAAGGTTAGTTTATATATCCTTGTACCAATACTGCATTTTTTAATTTTATATTTAGTGATGTAAATGTCTGCTTTCCATTTTCTTCTCCAAAATTATGTTAGCTATTTTGTATTTGTAGCCTTTTGCATTTCCATATAAACCTTCAAATCAGTCTTTCAATTTCCCCCAGCAACACATTAACACATTGCTCCCCCTCCAAAAAAAAAAAAGTAGCTTCTGGGATTTTGATGTTTGATAGCATAAATATTCATTGATTTTCTAGGATATTGACATTTATGTAGGTCTTCTTTGATTCTCTAATAATGTTTTGCAGCTTTCCATGTAGAGGTTGTCTTGCATATTTTTGGTTAGATCATCCTAGCTTTTGAATGCTATCTGAATGCTAGAGCTTCTTCTACAAACTTTAGTTTTTTTATCTATTATGAAGCTATAATAACTAAGATATAAAATCACAGGGTTGCTGCAATCTTGACTTAGGGACAACCAGCAAGATCTTAAGCCAAAGACATGAGTTGTGCTTTTGTAAAAAACATAACCCCAAAAATTTCTATGTGCGATCCAAATATCAGAAATGCATGTTTTTCCCTGATGTCTCACTTGTCATAATTTTGCAAATATATTTCCATGCCATTAAAAATTATTTACAAATATTATTTTAGAAAGAGATGCAGTGTTGAATATACTGTAATTTATCTTACCAACTATTATCATCATTTCACATGTCTTGATGTTTTCCTGTTATAACTTACATCATAATTGCCCTATACCGATGTATATTTCCTAATAGCTGAAAATTACTTTCATATTATTACATTAGAAATGGATAAAAAGTATGATATTTGACTTCTTACACTTTCTCATTTTCTCACGCAACTCTAGAAAATACTTTAGTTACGTATTAATTTATTACAAAGGCTACGACTCAGGAACATCCAAGTGGAAGAAATTTATAAGGCAAGATATTAGGGTTGGGGGTGGAGGCATTAGCTTCCATGTCCTCTCCAGGTACATTATCAGCACAGCAAGTCAATGAGTACATCAACTTAGAAACTCTCTGAATCTCACTGTTTGAAAGTTTCTGTAGAGTTCACTCTTCAACCATACCACTCTCCACCATGAAGCTCTGTTATGTGAGACTTGGGAGATGGCATTAAAAGTTCCAAACTTCTAATCATTTGATCTCTCTGGTGACCAGCCCTCTTCTGAAGCTACATAGAGGCCTAATGAAAATCATTTAATTGGTTTGGTTGAGAGGGGATGAATAACAAAAAATATTGTTATTACTCAGGAAATTCCAAGGGCTTTGGGAGCTCTGTGCCAGAACCACAGACTAAGCCCAAATTATTTTTGGTATTATACACACACAAGCACACACACACATAAAATACATACTGTATACTATTCATATATACATAGAGCATAATATCAAAAATAATTGTAATATATAATAACCATTATAACACCAAAATTATATATGTGCACATATATGTATCTATACATATATGCACATGTGTGCGGGCATATGCACGTGTGTGCACATGTGTGTGTGCCATTTTACTGCTTTTTTTCTAGCAGTAAACTGCTAGAAAAAAAGGAACAATTAAATTAGTTAATAAATTTATGTATTTACTCTGCCATGTTTGTTGTAAACAATTTTCACTTTGTTTTAAATGATCTTGGAAGGGAAGACATATTATTGCATAGTGTTGTGGACAAAAGAAGGAGGGCCACATACTCAACCTGACAACCTCTAGGAAGGTCTGTATGGTGGGTCTTATGCACTTGAACACCAAAAGTAACCACATAAGATGGTCTACAATTAAAACTTCCTAACTAAAAGCCAGTCATGGTAGGTAGTCATGTTGTAGGCCCCTAGGTGGCATCTTCCTAGACAAAAGTCAGTCTTTATCTTAACTGAGCTTATAAGGGTTCTTTTGCATATAAGATAACATACCCACGCAATGTCAGAATAATCACAACCACTATACCAGAGAATATGACCACAGAACCCCTCAATGGTATCTTGTTCTTCCACATACCATCTCTATGTGCTATAAATGTTCAATGTTAACTATTCTGTACACAGCAATGCAAAGCCAGTATGTGTCTATTTGTTTTACTTTTCATCCAGCCTCAGAGATTTCCCAGCTTTGCTTTTTCCAGCCTCCCTAATCTACCACCAATGGATATTATGTCACTACCCCTACAACTTCTCCTGTGATTCTCATGTATAAAAATAAGCAGTAAACCTTCTATTCTCCAGAGCACTTTATCAATCCATTGAAATTTGACTTCCCAGCAATTGTTGTCAGTCTGGCTCAAATAAGTGCTTATAACATTTTTTCTTAGGCTAGGCATTCTTTCTTGACAATGTAGTAAATACCAAAACGTTCCTTTGTGATTATTATTTTCATTTGAGGATGTCTTTTCCCATTCTGAAGTAAGTTCACTCACTTCCTTTTTCTTATTTTTCATTTCTTAAAATGCTGTTTCTCTATGTAAATTATTTTAATTAAAATGTAAGATAATTATGTGCATTTTTAGTCAACTATTTTGGTGGTAATAATTTAAAAATAAGGGCCAAATTTTTAACAAGTATACTATGCTTTTGGAGAAAGAAAAGAATAGGCTGATAAGTACATGTTTTACTTTCGTTACAGCCAAATTAGTTCTCATTAATTACTACAAGACTAAACACTTGAGGACTTGGGGGTTTTGTTTTTGTCTATTTGTTGTCCTTCTTATTATTCAGATTGTTCTATTCTACTTTTTCAGTGTCTTATTTGCATTTTTTCTTTTTTTGTTTACACAAATTATAGCAGACCAAATCCTAGCCTAATGAAGAGGCTTAGATTCTCAACTGTGAGAAAACAAATTTAAATATCTATAGCAAAGTTTATAATAAAAATGATAAGAAAGCAAGTGCTCCTTTGACTAACAGAAATCTTGACCTTTGACTCTATCTCTCATTCACACATACACAGACACAAACACTAAACAGAATCAAGTAAAATTTATATTTACCTTTTGATGACCACATGCAGTGCCATCACCTACATAGGTTCTCGTTTCAGGAGCAGTACTTCTCATACTTGCTGATATACATACATGGCCTCCAAAGTAAGTATATTGCATATCATAAGCTGCCAATGGTACCGCTAGACGTGTATGCATCCAGTGACAAACTAGCTTTCCACAAAGAATATCGCTGCCAATATAAAGCAGAGAAAATTTTCCAAACATCAATTCAGGACACGATGTATTAGGTAAATAACAATTCAAACTATGAGGATAATTCAAAATGTTACCCAGACCATAACAGTAAAGCTATTCAGAATATACAGCATTTTATAAAATGCTACATATAAATTTAGCTGTATGTATTATATTCACCTCTCATTTGAATTTAGTGGCTCATTGCAGAAAACACATACACAAAAAAATACACATGCATTCAGAAAATGGATAGTTTTCTAAATACACACGCAAAGTTACATGTCCTTCCACAGTTTCCAAAGGAATCTCCATGAATATTCACTTCTTGTAAACACAGATAATCAGCACCTTTAGCAACTGAAACATAAAGTTCTCATTATGCATCTTAAACACAAACAATTAAAACTAAAAGTGTGGCAAATTCATACAGATATATCTAGACAGCAGCAATGCCCAGTCAGTGCCATTCACTACAAATTTTTGATGTCATCTACTGCCTATTCAAGAAGGAGAAATACGCCTTAAAATACCAACTTCAGAGGAAAAAAATTGGTACTCTGCAGAAATGGTGAAGAAATCAAACAGTCATTTGCTCTTTTATCTAAAATTCTTATATTTCCTTTGCACCTATCACCTGAAATTTTACTAATGTTCTATTCTTTGTCCTATCATTATTAAGCCTATTTTGCCTCGACAGAACTCAAAGTGCTTTGATTTGCAATTTTATTTTCAGTGAACAATGGATTTGAATAAATAATGCCTTTCATTGTGGCTTATAGAGTGGATCACTAACTTTAGAAATACAGTTTAAAAACAAACCCCAGGAAAAACATACAACTATTACATTTTCCAAATAACTCCATGCACTGTCTGTCCGGATCTTGGCATTTTCCCCCAAAACAATAGGTGGTCTTATTACTACATGGCTCTAAGTCCGCGGCTTTCACATCTGGTGCACAAAACTCAGACATTCCATTGCAATATTCTGGAAAATCACATGGATCTGTGCTTTTCCGACATAGTTTTCCTTTATCAATAATCTGTGGTAAAAAGAGAAACAAATAATATTTTTGTAAGACATTTTATCCAAAACTTTAAAGTGCTTCACTCTACAATTAAGTCTTACCACACTACTCCAAGAAAGATACTATTATCTGCTATTATAATTTAGATTAACTGTCATTAGAGGTAAGAATGATGAGAGATGAAATGACTTGTCAAAGATCACCTATTAGTTCAATACTGGAGTGGTATCACTCAGATTCCTGACTGATGCTATTCACATGAAGCAAAGCATCTGTGCATATAATCCACTGAGCATAACACCATCCTCTTGAAATAATTTGCTGACCTATTATGAAATTTAAGTGGACATGAACAAAATGGCATCAGATCGTGTACTCAAACCCAACATGAAATTCGCAGGCAAGTATGTATGTCATTTTCTGAAAGATGGGGAAATGTTAAACACACGAGTTAGAATATGTTTTAAATCAGAAAATGTTGAAGTCCCTTTAAAATAGTGTTGAGCTCTCTCATTGTTCCTGGGAACTTCCAATTTGAGAACAATGGGAAACTGAACGTGGTCTGCACTGACAGAGTAAGTGGGCGCCATTTCCAAGGTAGAGGTTCTAGGGTGAAGGCTTTTCACAAGGCTGTTGCTCTGATTCCATGGTTGCACCTGACTGTTTGAGACAAAGGACACTGTTGATTACTTTTTTGATCTTCCTGAAACAAATATTTTTTAAAGAAGTAAGCCAAAAATGTAAAACAATTAAATGAGAGCATTGTGTTGGTAGTCATTTGGATTCTATTACATTTTAACTACTTAAAGATAATTATAAATTTACTTAAAAGTTCTAGAGAAATACATTTGAAAGAACCCAAGTGTCCATCAGTGAAGGAATAGACAAACTGTGGTATATACATGCAATGAAATATTTCAATCCATATATAAAAATGGAAGAATGACATAGGCTAAAGGTGAATAATCTTTGAAAATACTATATTGAATAATGACACCAAACATCACATATTGTATGGTTCTACTTATATGAAATATCCAGAATAAGTAAATCCATAAAGACAGAATGCAGATTAGTGGTTGCCAAGGAGAAAAGGATAGCAAGTGCTTAATGGGTTAGGGGTTTTCTGTTTGGATGACGGGCTTGTTTTGGAACTAGACAGAGGTGGCAGCTGTACAGCATTGTGAATGTGCTAAATGTCCCTGAATTGTTCACTTAAAAATAGTTCATTTTACCTTATGTGATTTTTACCTCCACTTTTTAAAAAGGCTCTCGTGAAAGCTCTCATAGTTACAATGCAATGGTTATACTACATATTTACTTCAAGATAAAAGGAAAATATCTGATATCAAGCAATGCATATTTGTGTTTCAACTGTTGATTCTTGGGGACTAATTGCACTCCTGAAATGCAGTACTAACTCAGATGCTAGTCTTTAACATATTTCTAAAATATTACTTAATGCACAGCTTTTTCATTTCAAGTAATTTTTCTTTCAGGGCCTACTCCACCTCTGCCATGAGGGGTTTATAAATCATGAATATGCTTCTGACTCAGGATGACCATCAGAACACTTCTCCCTAGACACAGTGAATGCAACAGTGGTGGGGAATTTGACTCAGCCAGATCAGTCTTGGTTTCCTTGAGCACTGAGCATTGAGGCAGTTGTTGGGAAAGAAATGATCTCTCTACTCTTGAAATATTGCTACATGGACTAGAAAAGCCAGGAGGTGCAATGAGCTATCTGTATTGTACAGAGAGGAACTTTGTTTGAAACCTGTCCACAAAAATGCCAAGATACTCAATAGATGAATAGAATAAGAATTCTCTTTCTTTCTGTTTTAAATGTACATTCACCTGAGCATAAAGTTAGACTCATCTTTTACTTAAGCTTCTTAAGTGTTTGTTTTCCTTTGCTGAGCCATTATCAAGATACAATGTCTTGCAACATTACAAATGTTGTAAGACATTTGGAGACCCTGGAGAGTATTATGCTGAGAAAAATAAGCCACTCAGAGAAAGACAAATACTCTGTGATTTCACTTATGCACAGAATCTAATAAACAATTTTTAACAATCAAAATAGAAACAGACTCATGAATACAGAGAACAGATTGACAATTGTCAGAAGAGGATCTAGGGGTAGGGCAAAAAAAAGGTGAAGAGATTAAGAAGTATAACTTGGTAGTTGCAGAATAGCCACAGAAAAGTAGTTTGCAGCATGGGGAGTGTAGTCAACAGTGCCCAGATAACTGGGTATAGAGCCAGATAGGTGCTTGCAACAGCAGGGTGACCACTTATTACAATGTATGGTTGTCTGGCCGTTTCCTGTACATCTGAAAGTACTGTGGAATAGTACTGATATAAACTGTGGCTGAAAAAGTAAAAAAATAAAATGAAGGCAATAAAGTGGTAAGTATGAGCTATGGTTTATTTTCTTAATACAGCCAACTCTAGATTGTTTGATATTTTAATTTTTAACTACTATCTAGAAAAAATAATACTTTCACTTATTCTTCTAAAAAGTGAAGTCATGCAATTTCAAATGATATTTCAGTCACTTGGCATCTTAATAACACAAGCTATATATGTAGAAGTTTTCAACTTCATTGTTCCACTATGCCTTTAAAATTATAGCATATCTAAGGTGTGAAATACAAATAATATGGGGAACTAGCTTTACTTCAAATGTTTAGTAGGCTTGAGTCCAAAGTTTACATATAATTGGAACTGTCATATCTTTAAATATGTTTTACATATAAGTAAAGTATATGTATAAAAATTTCATAATAAACATCATTTTGCACAAATTCAGGAAAAGACACAACTGACCAATACATAATTGGCATTATAAAGTACCAATTACAAATTTTTAAAGATTTTTTTTATCTATTTTCAGAGATTGGGGAAAGGAGGGAGAAAAAGAGAAACATCAATGAGAAAGAGAAACATGGATTGGTTGCTTCTCACAAACCCCCCCAACTGGGGACCTGGCCTGAAACCCAGGCATGTGTCTTGATGGAGAATCAAATCAGCAAACTCTTGGTTCACAGGGAAGTGCTCGATCCACTGAGTCACCAGCCAGGGCACAATGACAATTTCTTAAAGTGCAGGTAGAAATGTCTGAATACTAGTTAGAAACAAGTTATTCAGTTATGTTTCAGCAAAACACTGGTTTCGCTATTGTCTTCTATATCTTTGCACTTGGATGTGTGTCTGTCTAAATAGAAATATTGTTTTTCAAATACTGGGTCAAATGTTTAAACTTTGGAAAAGAATTAGTGGAAACTAGCCTCGTTAGAAGTAGACAGAGAAGGAAAGACAGGAAACCTTTTACTCTTATGGCCAACAATGAACGAAAGCAGAGTATAAGATACTTGTCAGCTTTAAATGACATCAAAAGCCAAATTCCATGCTATAACACATAGTAAAATTAATCTCAACTAACACTGTACACTTAGTTGTTGCCCTGAAGCCCTCCTTTGCAACTTTTACTGTGAATTTTCATTCAACCAAATATAGTGATTAGATAATCACTTAGAAGAGCCATTTTAAAGAACTATCCTTTGGGACATAAGTAAAGGACAATGCACTGTTTAGAAATGTCTTACTGCTCAGTGTCACTGATTTGGAGACAAAGGTTAAGATGAGGGCTCTGAAGAAGGAAAACACAAGACAATTTATTGCTAAGAAGTAGAAATACTACACTGGCCTCCACATTCATGTGCCTTGAAAACAAATGGCCATTGGCTCTAATTACTAACCCATAAGGCAATAAAGAACACATCCAAGACAAAGTAGAATAATGTTGGGAGAGAGTTCATTGACACAAAAAAATTTAAACCTGACAAGCAAAATCTCTCATTGATTAGCTTTTATTATTTGTCATACACTCCTGAAAGTGACACAAAATGAGGTGTTATAATAAAGCAATCCCCAGATGACAAATTCTAACCAATCTCCTCTCAGATGTGGCTATAGAGAAAAATTGAATGAAAAACTCCCCAAGCATATTGACTTTGTATCCTGCTGTTTTACCAAATTCACTTATTAGGTTGAGTAGTTTTTTTGTGGAGTCTATAGGATTTTCTAGGTACACTATCATGTCATCTGCAAACAATGATAGTTTGGCTTCCTCTTTTCCAATTTGGATGCCTTTTATTTATTTTTCTTGTCTGCTGTGGCTAGGACTTCCAATACTATGTTAAGTAGGAGTGGTAAAAGCAGGCATCATTGTCTTGTCCCTGATCTTAGTGGGAAAGCTCTAAGTTTTTTCCCACTGAGTATGGTGTTGGCTGTAGGTCTCTCATATATGTCCTTTATTATGTTTAGGAATGCTCCCTCTATTCCCACTTTTCTGAGCTTTTTTATTATAAATGGGTGCTGTACCTTATCAGATGTTTTATGCTAAGTGACATAAGCCAGGCAGTGATGGACAAATACCATATAGTCTCACCTTTAACTGGAACATAATCAATAAAAGAAAAAAGCAAACAACATGTAACCAGAGACACTGAAATTAAAATCTAGCAATAACCATAGGGGAGGGGTAAGGGACAATTGGAGGAAGGGTTTCCAGGAACTACTATAAAGGACACATGGACAAAACGAAGGGGGAGGGTGGAAGCAAGGGAAGCAGGTGGGTTTGGCTGGGGTGGGGAAGAGTGGTGGAAGGAAAATGCAGACAACTGTAATTGAATATCAATAAAATAATTTTAAAAAAAAACAAACTTCCCAAGGAAAGTCAAAGATTCAATTCACTCCTAGGCTACAAGTCCTTGCCAAACTAAACTTCATTATTTTATATGCTATTCCACATGAATTCCTTTTCTGTTATTTTCAAAATTAGATTTTTTTAAATTACTGTCATTTATTTGGGCATTGCATGTCACATGTGTGTTGGGTGGCTCATTTCTAATTTTGTCATGTTTCATGATGAAGAGCTTCATTCAGGCCTGAACAAGAGGTGATAGTACCCAAGTAATCTGGAATTGGTATTAGATGCAATAACTGGATGGGTCTTGAGTAGAAATTGAAACAGTACAGTGATGATGGAGATGAAAAGTAGGCAGAAAAAGAACTAAGGACATCATTTAAATTCTAAACCAGCTGTGTATGAGTTGAGTACATAAAAAGCATTTGAAAAATGTACAAAAACAAGTTTTTAAAAAACTAAAGTGCAATGAATGCATAAGAACACAAAGAAATCCATGTAAGAAAATAATGTAATATTTTGAAAGTTTACCATACAAGTTTTTTTACTGCAGCATGGTCCAGTGCCACATTCTGCATATCCAATCAGTGTACAAGTACTAGGATCACAGCATTTTTTAAAGGCGCATGTCTAAAAGCAAATACAATCAAGTTAAATAATAGGAATTTTTAATCAAATAAATAACTCTGTCAAAATATACTAAAGTTTGTCTCTCAGTTATGGTAATTACAATTACAATATAATTTTTACAACTGTATTTATTTGTAACACTGCTTCATTGAAATTTAATATATTTTCAGTATAGAAAACTATGCTAATAAATTATTCATGACTTTCATGCTCAATAAATTAAACTGTTAATAACTTAATGCAATTCCTTTCAATCCTTTTTGGTTTTGCAAACATATGCACAATAAGTTTTTAGATTCTTTTCATTGACTATATCACAAGTACTTTTCCATATTATCAAGTCTCAAGAAATAATTTCAGAGACATATAATAAGTCATGATTGTCACAAAGTACAAGTTTCCCATTTATAATGTTTTTGTATAATAAAAATATTTCTTTTTTTAAATGTCCCCCCCCCCCCCACCCCCCCCCCCCTCCCCCTCAATATTTCAAATATTACCGTCATTATTTCTTAGCTCTATAAGTTTATATTAAAAATTAATTCAAGAAGTTGTTAGAGTCATGGCATACGAAGATAGTAACTGCTCTTTATAACACTATACTTTTTTTATACGGTGGTCTGCTCAGTGTGTGAATGATGTTTTACTAGACTGACAGTAATATTTAAAATTTACTAAAGTTTATAAACAAGATAATTAAGCACTTGTCTACTTCAATTTATTATTTTTATTGATAATGAGTTGAAAATTTAACATATATGCACATGCTGGTTTATTTTATATTTTCATGTATATATTTTGGTTAAAATATTCTGTTAATTTCCCTTATTTGTAAGCACTTGTATATGAACAGTATGCAATTCAAAAACTCCACTAGTCAGAAGAAAAGCAATATAAATTAATATAACTCAGAATGCTTTGGTGACTTGGTCCAGATGACCACCACTGCCCTTAATCTAAGGACTGGATACCCATTCACTCAGGAAACCTTATTCTGAGCCTTGTTGGCATCAGAGGTGATAGACACCTTTTGCTCAAAATAAACTTTTGAACAATGATATGCTTCCAACCTCCCTCAGGCCTGCAGCTTCTACCCTGATTTCTAGATCTATCATATCGCTGACTCACTGGCTGAAAATCATTAGCTGCTCCTTTGAACATTCCTTCAGAACACTGATTCTCTCCTACAACATTCCATTGTGTATCAATGCCTTTCTCACATTAACAATCCCTACTTTCAGTCTTTTAAGACTTGAATCTTGACCTCATGTCAGCAAAATGCTGCTGAGGTTGCTATAAATGTCTTCATGGAAATTATTTTGACCAAATGGCCAATGTATTGGATGTATATGTGCTGTGATGGCAAAATTGCTCTCTTCAGAAAAATTGCAATCTGTTTGGCAGGAAATCTTTAAATTTATTCAAGAAATCTGTTCATCACAAGGAACTCAGAATTGATTCAGTATTGTATTAATTCTCCCATCTCTGTTATAAAAATTAACATAAACTTAGTGGCCTGTATTATTTTACAGTTCTGGAGATCAAAAGTCTAAGAGAGGCCACAATGGACTAACATGAAGACTTTGTAAGTTCTTCATTTCCTTGGAAGCTCCAGAGAAAGTCCATATCCCTGACTTTCCAGCTTCTAGAGACTACCTGCATTCCTTGGCTCGTGGATTCTTTCTCCATCTTCAAAACCAACAAAATGGCAACTTCAAATATCACTGTCACATGGCCTTTGACTCTAACCTGCCTGCCTCCCTTTAAGGACCCTTGTGATTGCATTGGGCCCACTCAGATAATATATGATATCTCCCCCTCTCAAGATCCTTAAATTGGTCATATCTTCAAAGTCCTATTGCCATGTAAACTAACACATTAACAAGTTATGAGTATTAGGACATGGGAACCTTTAAGAGTTATTCTAGCACATTTCACCACCTGATCACCAAAGATTCATCACATTTACCTTCTAAGCAAAGTACATGCACTCCATCCCAACATCCATAAAATCATAACCCATTACAGCATGAACGTAAATTTGCCGATCTGCTGACTTGTCTCAATGGAGTGAAGGAGCAGTTGGGTCTGCAATTACTCCTTCCTCCTGCATCTTTCTTCAGTTTTTCTGATTCCTGGGCTTGATGAGAGTGTGTTCAGCTCCATGACAAAGCCTCCATTATTGTGTGAACCAATTCCTGTGATGTCTCTCCCTTTCTATCCTTATTCATATAATATAAATACATATGCATGTGTATACATATATAAGCACATAAACATAAAAAATAAAAGTACTCAATAATAATTTTATATAGATTACATGTTGAAATAATACTATATTGGATATATTAACTCAAAATGTATAAATTAATCTCACCTCTTTTTTTATTTTATAAAAGTAGCTACTTAAAAATATAAAGTACACATGTGATTCACATTATATTTCTAATAGGTAACATTGATCTAAAGAAACACTAATGGAATTAATAACTGAATTCAGCAAGATTATTGTAAAAAGCCAAAATAAAAATATCTAGTGTATTTTAAAATCTGAGTACTAACATCAAATTTTTAAGTATATAATTTAAACTACCATGAAACTACCCAAAGCAATTTACAGATTCAAAGCAATACCTATTAAAGTACTAATGGCATATTTCAAAGACATAGAACAAACACTTCAAAAATTTATATGGAACCATAAACAACCCCAAATAGCAGCTGCAATTTTGAGAAAGGAGAACAAAGTAGCATGGATCACAATACCAGATATCAAACTGTATTACAAGGCCACTGTAATCAAAATAGCCTGGTACTGGCATAAAAACAGCCACATAGACCAATGGAACAGAACAGAGAGCCCAGAAATCAACCCAACTCTCTACAGTCAATTAACATTTGACAAAGGGGTCAGTAACATAAAATGGAGTAAAGATAGCCTCTTCAACAAATGGTGTTGGGAGAACTGGACAGCTACGTGCAAAAAAAAATGAAATTTGAGCACCAACTTACACCATACACCAAAATAAATTCAAGGTGGATAAAAGACTTAAATGTAAGTCATGACACCATTAAAGTCCTCGAGGAAAACATTGGCAGAAATATCTCAGATATTTCACGCAGCAACATTTTTTCTGAGATGTCCCCTAGAGCAAGGAATATAAAGGATAGAATAAACAAATGGGATCTCATCAAAATTAAAAGTTTCTGTGTGGCTAAAGAAAACAGTATTAAAATAAAAAGACAACTGACTGTATGGGAAAACATATTTGCCAATGATACCTCAGACAAAAGTTTAATCTCCAAAATATACAAAGAACTCACACGACTTCACTCTAAGAAAACAACTAACCCAATTAAAAAATGGGAAAAGGAATTGAACAGACACTTCTCCAAGGAGGACATACAGAGGATCCAGAGACACATGAAAAGATGCTCAGTATCACTAGCTATCAGGGAGATGCAAATTAAAACCACAGTGAGATACCACTTTACACCAGTCAGAATGGCTATCATAAACAAAGCAACAAACAACAAGTGTTGCAGAGGTTGTGGAGAAAGGGGGACCCTAGTTCAGTGTTGGTGGGATTGCAGACTGGTACAACCATTATGGAAAACAGTATGGAATATTCTCAGAAAACTTAAAATGGAACTGCCTTTTGACCTGGCAATTCCACTGCTAGGATTATATCCTAAGAACCCGGAAGCACCAATCCAAAAAAAGCTATACACCCCAATGTTCTTAGCAGCACAATTTACAATAGCCAAGTACTGGAAGTAACCTAAGCGCCCATCAGTAAATGAATGGATCAAAACACTATGGTATATTTCAGAATAAAATACTATGCAGCAGAAAGAAGAAAGAAAGAAAGAAAGAAAGAAAGAAAGAAAGAAAGAAAGAAAGAAAGAAAGAAAGAAAGAAAGAAAGAAAGAAAGAAAGAGCTCCTATCCTATGCAACACCATGAATGACACTGGAGAGCACTGTGCTAAGTGAAATAAGCCAGGTGGTGAAAGACAAATACCATATGATCTCATGTTTAACTAGAACCTAATCGACAAAACAAACAAGCAAGCAAAATATAACCAAGACATTGAAATTGGGAACAAAGTGACAGTAACCAGAAGGGAGAGGGGATGGGATAATAGGGGGAAAAGGTAAAGGCTTTATAGGAACAACTATAAAGGACACATGAACAATAACAAGGGGGAATGGAAACAGGGAAGGGAGGTGGGGAAGGCTGGGGTGGTGGAGAGTGGTGGGGGAAAGGCAGAAAACTGTACTTGAACAACTATAAAAATCAAAAGTATTTAAATAAAAATGTAAAAAATAATTTCTCAAGTGCTGAGAGGTCAATCAAAATTAATAAAAAATATAGAAGATTTGAGTCATTCATTCACAATTATAGTGTAATCGAGCTATACAGAATTTTGTTCCTAATAATTAGAGGCCTTTTGTATTTTCTAGAAAATACGGATCATTTACAAAACCACCATGCATAAGTATTAAAAATCAGGCACAACAAAATTCAGTGATTAGTTAGCTTGTCAAGCACAACCGAAAAAGATACAATAGCAAAAACTAAATATAACAACAAACCATGAATTATGATTAACTCAATTCTATGCAACCAAGTTAAAGTAAGCAAAGTTCCCCAAATGCAAGAACTAAAATCAAGAGATGAGGAGGTAAGCAACACCTTTGATAACTTGGGGAACTAATGGAAGTTCTTCACTTGGGAAGAATTCAGGAGACAAACTTAGGTGGTGATTATATTATTAATGGTACAGATATTTATGATACAAAAAGATGAGCATTACTATTAATGGTTACACAATGGAGAAAATCATGTTGAATCCATGCTATGCTTACTCCATACTTAAATCCTTCAAATGCTTCCAACTCAGGATGAGTCCATCCTCCCAAGTCCCTTATCTCTGTATCTTAGATATCTGATAAAATGGTACCGCACTTTAGAAAAAGCTTCCCCTTTGGTATCACATCTATATTTATAGTATGGTATGTGAAACAATAAAACAAATCTCTAGGTGAACTATCAAAGTTTGTCACTCACCTCAGAAAAGCCACAATCACATTGCTCTCCAACTTCTATAATTCCATTGCCACACGTTGCTTGCCTTCCTTGGACAACCAGTTTTGAAACAGTCTGATTCTGAAGACATTTTAATTCTGGTTGTGAAACTTTATGTTTAAATGCATCCACACTGCAACTGCTAAACAACTTGACACCATCAGAGCGTCTAAAATTAAATTATATTCTTCAGATAAGCGGAATAAAGTCACAATCAAATTAACACTGTTCCGTATAACACTGTTGATTCTGTACAACTTCAATTACAGGGAAACCAAGAAAGAGAAAAGAGTGCTTTTATTTTTAATACAAGTCATAAGTGGAAGGAATAGGTTCATTTATATTGTAATTTAATAATAAAAATCTAGCAAGAGGAGGAAGTTTAAGGTGACATGAAGGAGAATATATTAAAACACAACCGCTTGGCACACAAAAGGTCTATTTCAGTATGTTTCATTATTCATTATTTTTATCATTATTGTCAACATCACAATTACAATCATTATTATAGAATACTAATTACCATTAAAAATATGAAGCCCTGGTCAGGTGGCTCAGTTTGTTGGAATGCCCTCTCATACATCATTAAGAATACAAAATGTACTAGGAAATTTACATAGAAAACTAAAGAAATAAAAGATAGTTGACTGTGTTAGTAAAAAAATCAGAAATACTTGTTCCATGGTAATAATCGGTTAAAATATCTCAACATTAAGTATATATAATGTATATGCCTTAGATTATTTTTATTTTAAAATTTCTATATTTCTTTCTTAAGCTTTTTTTCTTTTTTCAGTGATTATGTCATTACATTTGTTCTATTTCCCACCCTTCCATTCCCCTCGACCCTGCACACCCCTCCCCCACCATTCCCCCCCTTTAGTTCATGAACACGTGTCTCAAGTTCTTTAGATTCTGTATTTCCCCTACTATTCTTACCCTCCCCCTATCTATTTGCTATCTACTGTCTATGCTACTTATTTTCTGTACCTTCTCCCCCCTTCTCCTTCTCCCACTCCCCTGTTGCTAATCCTCCACGTGATCTCCATTTCTATGGTTCCACTCCTGATCTAGCTGTCCTCTTAATTTGCTTTTGTTTTAGGTGTGGTTGTTGATAACTATGAGTTTGCTGTCCTTTCACTGTTCATCTTTTTTATCTTCTTTTTCTTAGGTAAGTCCCTTTAACATTTCATATAATAAGGGCTTGGTGATGATGAACTCCTTGAATTTGATCTTATCTGAGAAGCACTTTATCTGTCCTTCCATTCTAAATGAAAGTTTTGCTGGATAGAGCAATCTTGGTTGTAGGTCTTTAGATTTCATGACTTGGAATACCTCTTTCCAGCCCCTTCTTGCCTGTAAGGTCTCTTTTGAGAAATCTGCTGACAGTCTGATGGGGACTCCTTTGTAGATGACTGTCCCCTTAGCTCTTGCTGCTTCTAGGATTCTCTCCTTCATTTTAATCTTGGCTAATGTAATGATGATGTGCCTTGGTGTGCTCCTTCTTGGGTCCAACTTCTTTGGGACTCTCTGAGCTTCCTGGATTTCCTGGAAGTCTATTTCCTTTGCCAGATTGGGGAAATTCTCTTTTATTATTTGTTCAAATAAGGTTTCCACTCGTGACTGTTCCTCTTCCCCTTTTGGTACACCTATAATTCGAATGTTGGAGCTTTAAAGATGTCCTGGAGGTTCCTAAGCCTCTCCTCATTTTTTTGAATTCTTGTTTCTTCATTCTTTTCTGTTTGGTCATTTTTTCCTTCCTTCTGGTCTACTCCCTTGATTTGAGTCCCAGTTTCCTTTCCATTACTATTGGTTTCCTGTGCATTTCCATTCATTTCAATTAGTTTAGCTTTCATATGTTCCTCTAATTTGTGGCTGAAATCAACCAGTTCTGTGAGGATCCTGATCACCAGTGTTTTAAACTGTGCATCTGAAAGTTTGGCTATTTCTTCATCACTTAGATTTATCGGCTCTGGGGCTCTGAGTTGTTCTTGAGCCATTTTTGGTCTGTTCAAGCCCATTAAGTATGAGGAGTGGAGCCTTAGTTGTTTACCAGGGTGGGGCCACCCAGGTGGCAGATTTGTGACGCTGGATGTGGGGGTGGGGTCAGAGAGGGAGCAGTGACGGTCCTCTCTGCTCGCCCAGTCAGTCCCACTGCTTGCCTCGGCCTGTTTATCCAAGCGGAAATGTTCGAGCCCAGCACCCTGCACCATGCGGTCTCAGCGCTCACCTCTTCACTGGTTTACCTGCTTGCAAATGCTCGACCAACCGCAGACAGCCAGCCTCACCTCTTCCCTGTGTCCACCCGTAGCTAGCCCACACCTGAGATCCACACCTGGGATCCGAGCCTCCGGCTGCTTGCACACCACCCTGGTCGGGGGTCTTTTTGGCCAACCCGCTCCGCTGCTGGCTTCACCCCTCTTACCGGTTTAGCGGAGCATTTTGTTGTTTTCGGACTCCATATTGTCGATTTTCTGTGTAGTTTGATTACATTTATTGTTGTTAAAACTTTGTTATTTTTATATTTGGTTGTGCACGGATGCAAGGTATTTCCACCTACGCCTCCATCTTGGCGAAAGTCTAAATTTCTATATTTCTAAGTGTACTGTTGAATGAGTTTTTGTTTCATTTTGTAGCCATATCAAACTTAGAAAAATGATACAAATTCAGCCCTAAAAATAATTTCTTTCCTGAAGCAGTTAACTGTAAGTTGTCATCAAAATATTTTGATAACTCTAAATATTTTAATGTTTAATTCTTACATTGAAATGGATTCTCCTAAAACAGATATCTTAAAATCAGGAAATAATTATATTATTAACACCTAAACCTAATATTTCATTTAGAATTTCCCTTCAGCACAATATTGTAACTTTTATAGCAAAACGATAAAGCTCGGAATCAACCATCGTTTTTAGTTCTCTTGTTTCCTTAGTCTAGTTACTTAACTTTTATTGGATTTCATGACCTCAAATGGTTCATTATTACAGGTTGGTTATTCAGTAAAATGTTCCTCAATTTCGGTTTGTGAAATGCTTCCTCGGAATTCGACTGAGGTGATGCAACATTATCACAAAAGTGTTGCTGAGTTTATTGCACAGCATCCTAACAAAGGCACATGATTTTGGTTTGTTGTATGACTGACAGAAATTACCTTGATTAGCTGATTAAAGGTACGTCTGCCAGCCTGCATTCTAAAATTATGTTTTTTTTCTTATTAGTTAATAATTATTTGTAGGAAAGTACTTTGGTTTTATGTAAATATTCCATTTCTAACTTTTCAATTTATTCATTCATGTATTTATATAATTGTGAGATCATGTTTTCTTACAGTATTATATTAAATGGGTTATAATACATTACTATCATTTTTATTTATGAAATTCAAATAGTCACGCATTTGGCTGAAGGAAGCCCCTTCAAACTGACTTTTGAGCCCCTGACAAATCTCCATAGTTCTTTCAACAGCACCTCATATTCACACCAGATGTTCCAGGCTCATTTGTATTTTCTCTGCCTTAGCCCTGTAAGCTATCATTTCTCCAAGATGCCCCAGGTTGTCCTAGTGGAGAATAGCATTTTTAAATATTATCTGGGTGCTACACATCCTTATTGTTATTAGATTTTTTAAAAACATTACTTTTATTTTAGAAAATTTTCACTTGAAAATATTCGTACTTTTCTAGAAATATTACATTACTCATAAATATTTTAGATATATCATTTGGAATAAATAGTAAAACTCATACTCAACCATTAGTATAACTGACCAATTCTTTTTTTCTTTATTCCCTTATAGTGTTATTGTTGACACTATTACAAATGTCCCCCTCTCCCCCCAACCCTTTGCCTGCCTCTACTCTGTCCCAACCATCCACCTTCCTCTGGCTGTCACCACACTGTTGTTTGTGTCTATGGTTTATGCAAATATGTTATTGTCTAATTCCTTCATCCTCTTTCATCCAGTCTCCCATCCCCTCTGACAGCTGTTAGTCATTAGATTTATAAAGCACAGGCCATTTATAAAGGACAAAGGCCATACCCACATCTTAAGAAATGTTCAGTCCCTTTGCTATCACCTGCAATTTGCATATCCCCACAAATTTGGGCTCCTGTAATAGCATGAGTTCACTGATATCTCAGCCTCAGGGGGGACAACTTTTTGGCATGTAGATTATTCAATGATTTCAGAGCTCCCAGATCTGCCAGGTTTTTCAGGGTCTTGTCATATTAATGTTATTTCCTCCTACGCAGTTATTTACCTCATGCAGATGTTATTTTAGTCAGTAGATTGCCTCCAGCTGCTGCTACCTTTGGTGCATATCAGTTTTGGAAATGGAGAAGATGCTTTGATTCTCTTTGTTTGTTCCTAGTTTTACTCTTTATTTCATCACAGAATTGGAGGAGACTAAAATACCATGCTGATACTTTTACCATTTTACTTCCATCATTTCCCCTATTCTTTTTTTTTAATCCATACTTGAGCATATGGTTTACTGACATTAGAAAGAGAGGAACTTGGGGAGTGGAGGAGGGGAGAGATGTCTACATGAAAGAGACCACGGACCAGTTGCTTCCAGTACATGCCCCGACCCAGGAATGCACTCAAAACCTGTGTCACATCCAAAACCTAGGTATGTGCCCTGACCCAGAATGAAACCTGTGACCTTTTGGTGTACAGGATAATGTTCAACTAACCGAGTCACCCCACCAGGGCCTCTCCCTTATTCTTAAAACATAGTCCTCCCTAGGTAAGGATACATCTTATCTTGGTTCTTATTTTAATATTTTCTTCCTTTCAATGACAAGTATGCAAAGTTACATCTTAAGGCACCTCTTTTCACTCTTTTCAACTTCTTTCTAAATCATCAGTTCATGGTTTGAATTCCTATCAATATGGTGATGGCTCTCACACTTTAGATCCCTTGTCCTCTGAGATCCTGCCCTGTGTAACTGTGCACTTAGTGCTAATGAATGACTCAGAGCCCCCAGTATAACATAGATTAACTGCCTCAAAGTTTCCTATCTTCTCATTTTACAATAAGAAAATATTTGCTTTTTTCAATATCTGTTAAAAGTCACAATGTTCAAAAATCTGTTTGAACCCAGCCATTTCCATTTCTCTGTCTTAATAAAGTCCTGTATTATAATGAGACTTATCTCCAAAATATTCCTATATTGTTGTTCCCTCTGATATATTATTCACTCATTTAAAGATCATTTTTATTCTCCATTCTGCATAAATCAATTTAAAATGTGGTTTGTTACGTTGATCATCAACTTCCACTCTTATGTCATGATTATGTGATCAGGCTCTTTCCTACATACCATGTGTTAGTCACCTCCTGGACTTCTTTCCCACGCTCATTGTTCTGTTGCCTTATTTTACTCTACTTTCTTTTCCTTATGCCTTTTATATATTTCCTTATGGTCACAGCTATTTCTTTTGTTTTTCATTTTTATCCCTCTCCCCCTGCAGTGTCCTTACATCTGTCACTTGAATTCCTCAAGCTTCTTGCTTCCCACACATCACTACCTTGCTTACCCTGTAAAGTGTTCAATAAGTCTTTTTAAAGATTTTATTTATTTATTTTTAGAGTGAAGTGAAGGGAGGGAGAAAGAGAGAGAGAAAACATCAATGTGTGGTTGCCTCTCATATACACCCAACTGGGGACATGGCTCATAACCCAGGCTTGTGCCCTGACTGGGAATCAAACTGGCAACCCTTTGGTTCACGTATCAGCACTCAGTCTCCTGAGCCACACTAGCCAGGGCTCAACAAGTTCTTTACCTGACCAGATTCATTCCTTCACTTCCAGGTCCCAACATAATTATTTCTTAGACCACTTGTTTTAAAAAGTTTCCTCTCCCAATCCATCCCTATTTATCACCTCCTTAAAAAATTATCATAAGACGTTTATATTTTGTTTATTCTATGGCCACTTTTTACTTTTCTGTCTCTAAGGAACTAATATAAGATAGATAGGACTTACCTACCTATCTATTGTTAACTATTGATAAAACAAACACACACTATCCTGCAACATAGTCAGTGTTTGGGACATATATTTATAATGAATAAACAAATTTCACCTCAAGACTCTAGTACACCCCAGAAAGACATTATCAACAAATACTTTCTCTGTAGACTATAATATTGAATATAAAAATTTTAGGCACATTTTCTGTAATATCCAATGCTCATTTAGTTAATAAGCTTTAAATTAGCATATATATTTAATAAAAATAATCTTACCCAAATTATATTGCAAGTGATTACACATTAAGGAATACTACAGACATCCCCCTCCCAAAAGATACAGATTTGATCAAAACAACACCTTACATCGCTTGAGGATTCATAATGCATGTAGCTCCTGGGCAGTAACAATGATAGATGTCATCATATGTGAATCCCAGAGTAATTCCAAGCAACTGGGCCATAACAACTGAGAATGACTCTGAAGTTACCCTGTTTGAATACTAAACACACACACAAAAATGTTGCCTGAGTTATTTATTCACCCCTTTGATCTTTGCATAAGTAATTTGTGGGCATACTATCTAAATGCAAATACAACTGTAAGAAAATAGTATTCCAAAGCTCAATTTTTTTTTTAGAAGTATGAAAAACAAAAAAATGGTAAACTTGGAAAAATGGTATTTTAAATCTAAACGCCATTGGCATGTAATGGATAAAGGTAATGCTATTTTACCTTTTTATTATATTACTAATTTAAATTCAAATAACTTTACATTTTTTAGAAGAACAAGCTTTGTTTTAGTAACTGTATTTTTTTCCCAGTGAACTCTAGGAAAAAAATACACAAATTCTTAAGGATTGAATTGAAAATCAGTTTTGGCTTTAGAAATAGTTTTAGGAGTCTTTCCTCTTCTTTGATTTCTTTCTGTCTCTATGGACAATTAATATTCAACAAAGCGGGCAAGAGCATAAAATGGAGTAAAAATAGCCTTTTAAACAAATGGTGTTGGGAGATCTAGACAAGTACATGCAAAACAATGAAACTCAACCACCAACTTACGCCATTCACCAAAATAAACTCAAGATGGATAAAAGATTTAAATATAAGTCACACCACCATAAATGTCCTAGAGGAAAACATAGGCAGGAAAATCTCAGATATTCCACACAACAATATTTTCATCGATATGTCCTCTAGAGCAAAAGGCACAAAAGAAAGAATAAGCATATGAAACTTCATCAAATTAAAAAACTTCTGAATGGCCAAAGAAAACATCAGCAAAACTGAAAGGAAATCAACTGTATAGGAAAATATGTTTGCCAATAATATTTTGGACAAGGATTTGATGTCCAAGATTTAAAAAGAATTCACATGACTCCACTCCAGGAAAACAAAGAACCCAATTAAAAAATGGGCAAAGGACTTGAACAGACACTTCTCCAAGGAGGACATTCAGAGGGCCATAGACATGTGAAAAGATGTTCAGTATCACTAGACATCAAAAAGACACAATTTAAAACCACCATGAGATATTACCTCACACCTACCAAAATAGCTATCATTAATGAATCAACAAATAATAAGTGCTGACAAGGATATGGAGGAAAGGGAACCCTAGTGTACCGTAGGTGGGAATGCAGACTGGTGCAGCCACTGTGGAAAACAGTATGGAATTTCCTCCAAGAGTTAAAAATGGAACTGCCTTTTGACCTAGTAATTCTATTATTGGGACTATACCCTAAGAACCCCGAAACACCAATTCACAGGAACCTATGCACCCCAGCGCTCATAGCAGCACAATTTACAATAGCCAAGGTCTGGAAGCAGCCTACATGCCCATCAGTAAAAGAGTGGATCAAAAAACTATGGTACATTTACACAATGGAATACTATGGTGCAGAAAGAAGAAACAGGGTCCTACCCTTTGTGACAGCATGAGTGGAAATGGAGAGCATTATGCTAAGTGAAAAAAAGCCAGGTGGTAGAAGATGAATACCATATGATCTCACCTATTAGTGGAACTTAATCAACAAGACAAACAAGCAAACTAGAACTTGAGATATGGAACTAAAAGAAAAAATTGACACTAACCAAAGGGGGAGGGGGGAGGGGGATAATGATGGAAAGAAAGGGAGAGAGCAAACCAAAGAACACATATAAAGGACCCATGGACAACAGGGTTGGGATTAACTATGGCAATGGATGGGGGGTGGGGGTGCAGGAATGAGCAATGGGGAAAAGAGTGGCACAACTATAATTAAACAACAATAAAAAATAATTTAAAAATAAAAATAGTGTAGTATAGTAAATGCATAAACCAGTAATGTACTCATTAATTATCATTTTCAAGTATTATATACTTATGTAATTGTATTTCTACTTTTATATAACTAGCAGTGCAATAGGTTTGTTGACACCCAGATCCCCAGAATCACGTGAGTAATGTGTTGCACTATGAAGTTATGATGGCTATATCCTTATTAGGTGATAGTCATTTTTCAGATCCACTATAATCTTCTAGGACCCCAATCAAAGAATGGTCCATTGTTGCCCTAATTAACATTATATGACACATGATTGTATTCATTACCCTTGAGACCAATATTCAACATTTTACTACATTCAGGTTACTAATAAGCTAGAAGAAAAGGATACATATAACCCAGCAAGACTGAATAATGAAGAAAGAGAAAATCTGAGGGACAAATAACTAGTAAGGAGATTGAAGCAGTAATCAAAAACCTTCCAAGAACAACAACAAAAACCCAGGATTTGATGGCTTTGAATCAGGCTTTTAAATCCAAATTTACCAGTGATTCAGGCTTTGGTGGACCTGAGTCACTGGAAAATTCTACCAAACATTTAACTAAGATTTAATGACAATTCTCAAACTGTTCCTCAGAATTGAAAAGGGGATGCTCACAAAATTATTCTATGAGGCCAGCATTACCCTGACACCAAAACACTAAAAAAATGACTAATATACCTGATGAACATTAATACAAAATCCTCAACAAAATACTAGCAAACCAAATTCAATAGCACATTAAAAGGATTATACACCATAACTGAGGTTTTTTTCTGGAACACAAAGATTACTTAACATAGGAAAATCTGTCAATGTAATACACCATTTTGACAGAATAAAGGGCAAAATCTACATAATCATCTCAGTTAATGCAGAAAATGCATTTTACAAGACTCAACACATGTTTTAATAAACACCACTCGACAAAATGGGAATATGATAAAACCAACTCAATACCATAAATAACACAAAAAATTCACAACTAACATCATACTCACTAGTGAATTCCTGAAAGATTTTCCTCTAAGATCAAGAATAAGGCAGGATGCTCCCTCTCCCACCACTTCTATTTGATATAATGTTGGAAGATCTAGCCAGAGCAATCAAGCAATAAAATGAATAAATGAATTCTAAATTGGAAAGGAAGAAGTAAAATTCTCTGTTCACAGCTGACATGATCTCTTTTGTAGAAAACACAAAAGATCCAGCATAAAAAAAAAAGCAAACAGAAAAATAGATACAGAAAACACTTTGTCAGTCATCAGATAGGAGAGGGGTCAGGTGGATGGGTGCAAAAAATAAAGTGATTAAGAAGCACAAATGGGTTGCTTCAGAATAATCACAGGGACATAAAGTACAGCATAGGGAATACAGTCAGTAATAGTCTAATTACTATGGATTGTGTCAGGTGATAAGATTTATTGGGATGATCATATATTAAGCTATGTAATGTCTAATCACTGGGGTATACATGTGAAACTAATAATGTATGTCAATAGTAATGGATAATAAAAATGAAAAAATGAATAAAATAAGGATGGAGAATTTGAATAGCCATTTCTCCAGAAATGATACACAAAAAGCCAAAATATATGAGGAGATGCTCAGTACCATCAATAATCATAGGAATGAAAATGAAAACCACGATAAGATATCTCACCTCATACCAATTAAGATGACAGCTATTTTTTTAAAGCACAGGAAAAAAGTATTGGTATTGGGGACATTTACATGAATACAGTATGAACTTGGGGGTTATAAAATTATGTCAGCAGTATGATGATTTCTCAGAATATTAAAAATACAACCATATGATTCAGTGAACGTATTCCTAAGTACATATGCCAAATAATTGAAATTGAAGTGGTATCTGCATTCCCTTTTATGTATTCTGCCATAATAAAAATCCTTTTAAAACTATATCAGTTGAGTTTCAAAATCTATAAAAAAGCATTTTCTAAAAATCTGTCAAATACTATGGTAGATACACTTATATGAACTTTATTTCCTTGAAGTGGTTGTTAACTTTCAAATGGTACATAACTACTGAAGACATGGGAATAAAACGCATACCAGAGCAATTCCTGCAGCAAGTTTTGGATCACATGCCATTCCATGATATGTTGCTCCCAAATAATCAGAATGATTCCTGTAACTAAATAATAAAATTTTTCTTGTGGATAAATGCATTTTACTTATTTATTTATCTATCTATCTATTTATGTATTAAAATATTTTTATTGGCTTTAGATAGAGAGTAATGAAGAGAAAAGGTGAGAAATATCAATATGAGATAGAAACACCAATCGGTTGAGTCATACATGAGCCCTGGACAGGGAGCAACCTAAGTATGTGCCCTGACCACAAACTGAATTCCCAACCTTTTGGAGTGTGGGACAATGCTCCAAACAACTGAGGCACACCAGCCGGTGCTGATAAATGCATTTTTAATTATCATCATTAATGACCTTTTAAGACTTGTATACTTCAATAGAGTTATGTTTTCTTTACAACATGAATATTACATATTATGTCCAATGCATTTCATCACTTTGTGTTTGGGTATTCTCCCATAATTTCTACAGAGTTAGGTTTTAAAGGATACTTTAACTTTATTAGACACATATCCCAGAACCCAGCAGTGCCTAATCCACCCCCCAAAATTAATCAGCCCTGGGCAGTGTGGCTCAGTTAGTTGGAGTGTCATCTTATAGACCGAAAGGTCACAGGTTCCATTCCTGGTCAGGGCACATACCCAGGTTGCAAGTTTCGTTCTTGGTTGGGGTGCATATGAGAAGGTGACTAATTTATGCTTCTGTCTCACATTCATGTTTTTCTCTCCCTCTTTTTTTCCTTCCTCTTACTCTAAAAGCATTGAAAAACTGTCTTCAGGTGAGAATTTAAAAAAATATTAATCAACACTATTGTCAGTGCTGTATGGATATAATTCTTAGATGTAAAAGTCAGGATAGCTTACTGCCCTGATTTGCACATGACGAACCTGTAAAATATGTAAAACCATCAATTGGAAGACAAACAGAAACAATATGCAGTGGCATCACTAAGAATAAAATAGATAGGATGTGTAAAGTGTCCTTACTCATTCTAGTTTTTAGTTTATTTTACTCCCAAACCCTCAAACCTGACCTCACATTCCACAGGCAACACCAATAAATGTATAAATGTCTTACACACTGCTTATAATTTCAAAATTATGTGTTTTGTCTTTTCCATCTAAAAAATACAAGTTATTAAAACAAAAGTCTACATACTCTTTTGAAAGATAAAGTACAAGCAATTAATTAGCTACCACTTACATCAATAAAGAAATATCAGAAGGTAAGTACATTACAATGTAACGTTTTGTATTATAACCAGCATTATATGGAATTATTACATTCTGTTAACTTATTTGTATCTTCGTTAATATTAAAATGATTGTATACATTATTTGCATCTAAGAAAATCTTTAAAACCACAGAGGTCCATGTTTATCCCAAGATGTTCTATATTTTCCAGTTCTCATTCAATTTTCATAGGTGATCAGTGCACTCTTAGAATAATGGCCTACAATGATTTATCATGTTTTTTTGTTATCTTATTTTTTTATTTTGCACTTTATAAACACTGTACTAATACGCTATTTTTGTCATTATACATACATATTAGATTTTATATATAATTGTAATAGCTAACATATCAAATAATTTGGTAAACCACATATTAATGCAAGTAAAGTACTTACACTAATAAAAATGCCATATCACGGGACCTTTGAAACAAAAATTTTTCTTTCCATGACACAAATCTTTGCAGGACTTCACTAGCATCCCCATCAGATGAAATCTTATTTTCATCAGACCAGAACTCCAAAGATGTTAACATAAAAGTCACTTTTAGCTGGGAAAATATCTGAAAAGTGAGATATATAATATATGGTTTAGGTAAACACAAATATAACATTACATCTCTATACATAATGCTAATCTATTCAATTTATTGTTATTTGGAGATAAAATCTGTTGGTGAATAAAGCTGATTGGTAGGACTATACTTTTTATAGAAATGTTATTGCATTAATAAGAATGTTTCTTATTTAAAATATGAATCATAACCACTTACAGTGTTGATGAGACCAAAGATATGGACAACCTTCTCCACTGCAACTGCCACTTCAGAGCCCATATAATCAAACTGAAAGGCAAATTCTGTTTCTTAATCACCAGTGAAAATTAATGAATTATCACACTTTAAATAGATTAAAAATGTTACAAATAAAACCTTACGTGAAAAGACAAAAGCAGGATTAAAATTGATCAAATTTTAATGTTTTAGGCATAAACCCAGGGTCTTCATATAATAATCAATAATTTTGAAATGATAGGATTATGATAATCTTTCTGTTTACATATATACAAATTAAGGGTTAAAAGTTAAGTTTCCAAGATTTTGTAAATACTGAGGGTAAAAACCTGAATGCAAGTTTGTAACTAATAAGTCTTTTGGTCTAACAGAGAGGTCTGAGTACCATAACAGTGAACAATTTTAAGAATATGTCCTGCCCTGGCTGGTGTGGCTCAGCTGGTTGGAGCACTGTCCCATAGACTCAAAGGTCACAGGTTCAATTCCCGGTCAGGGCACATACCTGGTTAAGGCATGCACGAGAAGGCAACCAAGCAATCTCTCTCTCTCTCTCTATCTCTATCTCCCCCTTTTTCCTGTCCAACTCCCTTTCTCTCTAAAGGCAAGGGAAAAAATGTCTTCAGGTGAGGATAAAGAAAAAAGAGTATGTCCTTATTTAAGAAAACAAAAATCATAATTCTCTGTGAAATAATTCTAATTGTGTGTTCACATACATTTCTGTTTGTGAAAAGCATAAAAAGCAGCAGCTTGGGATTTTCAATAATCTCCAGCAAGTCTGCAAAAGATTACTAACAAGAAATGCAATGGACAGAGTTCTCTGATTTAGACTAAGAGATGCCGTTCTCCTAGTTCTTTAGAAACTGTTTAGACTTTGCTATTTTCCTGTATGTGACCTTTTCCAATAAACCACACTGTATATTCACACAATGCAGCATATATGTGGTATGAGTGAAGGTGATCCATTGTGAGCCTAAACATATGAAAAGTAAGACAGAAGAAATTTTAAAATATGGTTATGGAAATGAGCTTGCATATGTCAATAGTTACTAATTATCAATAGCCCAAATGAAAAAAACTGCTTAAATAAAGCTACTATATGCAAATTAGAAATTTAAAACCCCTACATTTGGAGGATAGAAATATTAAGAGGTCATACTAAGAAAATATTTACCAGGACATTACTAGACAAAAAGCAGATGTCATATATTGAGATAGCTACACTAATATAAGAGTTACATTAGTATAAAAGAGCTTAAAGCTAAATCTATCTATATTATAAAAAGGTATGTTTCTTTTTCTTATTCCTTTGTATTTAAACACAAAATAAATATGATAAAAAACATCAATAATGCATACCAAGGCTTTATCCATAATGATCTGTATTTTCAGAGTTTTTTTCATTAGTCCAACATCTGATTTTTTCTGTGAAATACAAAAAAAATGAATTAAATAAAACATTTAAAATTCTTATATTGTTTGTAGTTATGTACATAATATATGTACACACAGAGAGGCATAGACAGAGAAATAAATAAATATAGACACATAAAGTTATACAGATTATAGGAAAACAAAAGGGTGGCTGTTGACTGAATAAATGAACAGGTGAGATTCCAAGTAAACATTTTAGAAACTTAAATTAGAAGCTTTTATTTTATATTCTTAGTAACAGTTACTGCAGTGCCAAGAACCCGTACATCCTTCTCTCAAAACCTTCTTCTAGGATCCCCCTCCTCCAACCTTCAAGCTAACAAACTCCCATCAGCTTTCCCCAAAACACTGCCTCTTATTTTCTCATTAATTTTATACCTTAAATTATTTAGATTGACTTTAGATTATTTAGATTGTGGCTTATACTCAATAAAATGCATCCATTTTAAGTATACAGTTATATGCATTAGTATTAATGTATGCAGCCATGTAACCATTTCCACAAGTAAGACAAAGAATGCTCCCATCACCCCTTTCCAAGGCAGTAGTCCACGGGGTTCAAGGCAACCAATGATCTGCTTTTTTTCTACATGGGTGATAATGATCTATACTAGAATTTCATAGACATGGAATCATAGGGCATGTGTTCATTTCTGTTGGGCTTCTTCCATTCAGCAGTCCCTATGTTGTTGCTCTCATTTTTAGTTAATACATTAGCTTCTTTCTATGTAGTGTGCCACCGAAGACACACATTGAAGCTGGTATAGGCAGTAACCTGCTGACCGTGTGCTTTTTAAGATATTGTAGTTACTATTTAAAAAGCTATTATAAGTATTATTGTACAGGCCTTTCTGGAGGGTTTTTTTTTCTTTCATTTTTCTTGTTACTTAGAAATGGAATATCTGAGTCATACAGGAATTGTGGGTGTGTAAAAGTGGTTTGAAAGTGCCAGATTGTTTGCTAAAGTTATTTGATCTTTCTGCCTTTTCACCAAGAATTAATAAGTGCCAATTGTTCCACATTCTTGCCTGCATTTGGCAATGATGCTAATACTAGAATTGTTGAAAGAACCGCAAAGAAGGGCTACATGTAAAAGCTCTTAAAACAATATGTGGTACCTATGAGGCAGTACATGAATATAAAATAACATTAACATTGTTTTTCATTCACTTTGAATTTTGCATTTTTCTATTGTCTATATTTATATTCATTTATATGGGTCATGTTTATTTCTTTCTGATCATTGTTTTTATTTTAGAATACATGCAGTTCTTTCAAGTCTAAGAGGAGACTTGAAAGACATATTATACTTCAGGTTATATAGTATAAGATGCGGCAAATTATCCAAAAATCATATTTGTTCTCTCTCCAAGAGAAGAGACATCAATGAAAAGCAGCTGTCCAAATTCGCCTGTACCAATGTGGAGACATACTATTTTCCCTTTACTCCTCACTAGATTTGTGTAGTCTAGGGAGGGACACTTAGAGACTTTGAGTCAAAGCCAGTTTAGGAATCAGCCAAAATTTCATCTGCCTTGGACTCTGCATAAGCCTTATGTTACACCACTGAGAGCTGGACATTCATTGCTCTAAAATATAATGGCACTTGTCATAACCATGATCAACTAGAATTTATTCCAGGGAGGAAAGGTTGGTATAATATCTGCAAATCAATAAACATGACACATGACATAAACAAAATGAAGGACAAAACCCACATGATCATATCAGCAGATACAAAAAAGCTTTTGATAAAATCCAGCACCCATATATGATAAAAACTCTCAGCAAAGAGGGAATATAGGCAACATACCTCAGTATAATAAAGGCCATATATGACAAACCCCAGCCAACAATCACACTCAATGGGCAAAAACATTTCCCTTAAGATCAGAAAAAAGACAGGGTCGTCTGCTATCACTACTCTTAATCAACATAGTCCTGGAAGTCCTAGCCAAAGCAATTCAGACAAGAAGGAAAAATGAAATGCATCCAAATTGGGAAGGAAGAAGTAAAACTGCTGGTTTGCAGATGACATGATATTGTACACAGAAGACCATAAAGATTACACCAAAAGCTACTAGATCTAGTAAATGAATTTAGCAAAGTAGCAGGTACAAAATTAATATTCAGAAATTAATGGCATTTCCATACAATAATAATCAGCAATAGAAACTAAGAAAACAATCTCATTTACTATGCAACAACAACAAAACAAGGTACCTGGGAATAAATTTAACCAAGCAGGTAAACACCTGTACTTGGAAAATTAAAAGACATTGAAAAAAAATTGAGGAAAAATACAAATAATTAGAAGCATTTACTGTGTTTATGCATTCGAAGAATTCTCCAAGGCAGATATACAGAAGATCCAGAGACACATGAAAAGACGCTCAATATCACTAGCTATCAGAGAGATGCAAATTAAAACCACAATGAAATACCAAATCACACCAGTCAGAATGGCCATCATAAACAAAGCAACAAACAACAAGTGTTGCAGAGATTGTGGAGAAAAGGGAACCCTAGTGCAATGTTGGTGGGATTGCCGACTGGTACAACCACTATGGAAAACAGCATGGAATTTTCTCAGAAAACTAAAAATGGATCTGCCTTTTGACCCAGCAATTCCACTAGTACGATTATATCCTAAGAACCCTGAAACACCAATCCAAAAGAACCTATGCACTCCAATGCTTATAGCAGCACAACTTACAGTAGTCAAGTGTTGGAAGCAAGGTAGGTGCCCATCAGTAAATGAATGAATAAAAAAACTATGGTACATATATACAATGGAATTCTATGCAGCAGAAAGAAAGAAAGAGCTCCTACCCTTTCTGACAGCATGGATGCAACTGGAAAGCATTATGCTAAGTGAAATAAGCCAGGTGTTGAAAGACAAATACCATATGATCTCACCTTTAACAGGAAACTAAACAACAAAACAAACAACAAGCAAAAGGTAACCAAAGACACTGAAATAGAGAACAGGCTGACTATGTCCAGAGGGGAGGAAATTTTAGGGGAAAAGGGGGAGGGTTTACAGGAACAACTATAAAGGACACATGGACAAAAACTAGGGGTAGGGGGTAGAAATGGGAGAGAGGTGGGGAGGGCTGGGATGGGAGTAAAAGACAGAAAACTGTACTTGAACAACAATTAAAATTTAAAAAATAAATAAATAATTTTTTAAAATCATTAAAATTTTCATACTACCCAAGGCAATCTATATATCCAATGCAATTCTCATTAAAATACAAATTTCTTGTCTCACAGATCTAGAACAAATACCTAGAAATGTATGTGGAACCAAAAAAGGTCCAAAATAGCCTCAGCAAACTTGAGAAAGAAGAACAAAGTTGGAGGGATCACAAAACCTGATATCAAACCATACTACAAGATCATTGTAATCAAACACCCTGGTAATGACATAAGAACAGGCATATAGATTAATGGAACAGCACAGAGCAATCAACCCACACCTTTATGATCAATTAATATTTGACAAAGGTCACAAGAGCATATTATGAAGTAGAGAGTCTCTTTAATGGTGTTGGGAATATTGAACAGGCACATGCAAAAATATGAAATGAAAGTACAACCAACTTAACTTCACACAAAAGAAAAAACCCAAAATGGATAAAAGACTTAAATGTAAGTTGCAAAACCACAAAACCTCTTGAAGAAAACATAGGCAGTAAAATCTCAGACAACTCTCGAAATAATGTTTTTGTCAATATGTCTCCTAGGGCAAGGGAAACAAAGGAAAATGTAAATAAATGGTAGTACATCAAAATAAAAAGCTTTTGTACAACAAAGGAAAACCTCATCAAAATGAAAAGGGAACCCAATGTATGGGATAACATATTTGCCAAAGATACATCTGAGAAGGGGCTCATTTCAAAATATATAAAGAATTTATACAACTCAATACCACGAAGACAATACAATTAAAAAATAGGCAAAGGAACTGAATAGACACTTCTCCAAACAGGACATACAAATGGCCAACAGACACATTAAAAAAAAAAGTTTAACATCTCTAATCATCAGAGAGATGCAAGTTAAAACCACAGTGAGACATCACCTTACACCTACCAGAATGGCTACCATCAATAAGTCAACTGGAAAGCATTATGCTGAGTGAAATAGGCCAGGCATTGAAAGACAAATACCATATGATCTCACCTTTAACAGGAAGCTAAACAACAAAACAAACAAGCAAACAGAATAAAAACAAAGACACTGAAATAGAGAACAAGTGGGCAGCGACAGAGGGGAGAGGGAAGGGAATTTAAGGGAAAAAATGGGGAGGGATTTTGAGGAACAAGTATGAAAGACACAGGAATGAGGACTTGGGGGGAGGGGAGGAAATGGGAGGGAGGTGGGGAGACGGGGCAGGGGGGGCTGGGATGGGAGAAATAGACAAAAAACTGTACTTGAAAAATAACTAAATAAAATTTTTTTAAAAAGTCAACAAACAAGTGCCAACTGGCATGTGGAGAAAAAGAGACCCTAGTGCACTGTTGGTGGGAATGCAGACTGGTGCAATCACTGTGGGAAAAAAATTCTCAAAAAAATTAAAAATGCAATTGCCTTTTGACCCAATGATTCCCACCTCTGGGAATACATCCTAAGAATCCTGAAACACCAATTCAAAAGAACATATGCCCCCTTATATTTATGGCAGAGTTCTTCACAGTGGCCAAGATTTGGAAACAGCCCAGATACCCATCAGCAGATGCAGCACAAGACTGGTTAAAAAAGCAGTGGTACATTTACACAGTGGAATACTACATGGCTGTCAAAAACAAGGAACGCTTACTTTTTGCAACAGCATGGATGGATCATTATGCTAAGTGAAATAAGCCAGTCATAGAAAGACAAACACCATATGATCGATCTCACTTATATGTGGAATATAATGAACAAAATAAACTGACAAGCAAAACAAAAACAGAGGCATGGACACATGGAACAGACTGATAGCTGTCACAGTGGGGAGGAAGGGAGGAGCCAGATGAAAGAAGGTGACCGGATTCACCAGAGAACATATATGCATAACTCATAGACACAGACAACAGTGTAGTGCTGGCCAGAGAGAAGGGGGTGCAGGGGGTGGGTGGAGATGGGCAAAGGGGAGGAAAATGGGAACATCTGTAATAATGTCAACAATAAAAATAAAAATTTAGTGGCATATATTACTCATAATAATACGCTTGTACAAAGAAAAAATGTACTGGCAAAATAATACTGACAAAATAATACTCAGCAAATTTGGGTGGCATTCTATTAGTAGGATGCAAATTCAGTAACAATGCAACTATGTACATATGCATAAAAAGGCAATTAGGGAAATGTAAGAATGTTCACTTTTTTTGTTCGTTTTGTTTCTTTTACTGTTTTGTGGCCTGGGCCCACAGCAATACAAATTTGATTTTTGTCCTAGGCCCCATGAAAAGGCTTTGTTATATCTTTTAATCATTGCAATTATTCTAAGGCAGGTATTAGGATCTTTGTTTAACAGAGATATGAAGTAACTTGTCTGAGGTCATCAAGAGAATGAGCGGCAGAATTAGGACCTAAACTCTGATCAGCCTTACCTCAAAGGCTGTATTATTAAATATTTCAATCTAATGATGTGGTGAAATATTACATGACAGAGGGGATGCTCAGATACTATCCTTTTTTCACATTTTTTATTTAATTATTTTTCAACTACAGTATTCTATCTTTTACTCCCATCCCAGCCTATCCCCCCCGTGCCCCCCACCTCCCTCCCATTTCCACCCCCCTTAGCTGTTGTCCATGTGTCCTTTATACTAGTTCCTGTAAATCCTTCCCCTTTTCCCCCTGAAATTCCCTCCCCTCTCCCCTCTGGTTGCTGTCCCTCTGTTCTCTATTTCAGTGTCTTTGTTTTTATTTTGCTTGCTTGTTTGTTTTGTTATTTAGGTTCCTGTTAAAGGTGAGATCATATGGTATTTGTCTTTCACCACCTAGCTTATTTCACTCAGCATAATGCTTTCCAGTTCCATCCATGCTGTTGCAAAGGGTAGGAGCTCCTTCTTTCTTTCTGCTGCATAGAATTCCATTGTGTATATGTACCATAATTTTTTGATCCATTCATTTACTGGCAGGCACCTAGGTTGCTTCCAGCTCTTGGCTATTGTAAATTGTGCTGCTATGAACATTGGGGTGCATGTTCACTTTGAAGTATATGTGTTTATATCTATCACATTCTCTAAATTTTATAGAAATAAGCATTTTTATTTACACATTCATATAATATTTAAAATAAATATCTTACAAGAGGTTTTAATATAATCAGTATCAGTCTAAATTTGTTTTCCAAACATAACACATTTCAGTGTGAGTAAGATAAGATCATCAAAATCAGCAAAAATGAAGATTTCAGAAAACAGTTGCTTACTTCTGACTGCACAAGAATCTTATAGGACTGATTTGCAGTTTGGATTGTAGGATGATTTTCTTCTAAAGAAGAAAAATCAATTTTATTATTCTTTATTTGATAAATTATATGCTCATACATAGCTGCAGATTCCAATGGTTCAATTCCATAACTGACATTCTCCAACTGCAATAATCCTCTGAATATTTAAACAGATAAAGAACAAATGATAATAATTAATACATATTTCCACCAAGCACTATAAATCAAAACTAAGTAAAAACACTTTATAGAAACTTTATAGTGGTCCTTATGGTCTAATATAATCTAAGTGTAGTCCCATCTTACTTAAACTAACACAATCTTACACCTTGTGTCTATATGGCATTTATGAGTCACTGTGGTTCTAGGTGGTTACTAAATGTGAATATTCTTTATACTAATGGGCTTTTGGTAAATTTATTTTATGACTGTAAGCTAGGATAGAGACAAAAATATGTAAAAAGTAGTAAGAGGAGGAGAAGGAAGAAAAAAATATATATGTATACATATGAGAAGAAACACAATCAAAGCCTATATTTTCTTTGCATTCACTCTACAATTCAAGGGATTTCTAAAAATTAAAATGTTACACAAGAGAGTTTATCATGCACATCTCTGGAATATGCCATTACCTGAGTCCAGAACAGGTGCTAAGTGTCACGACTGATTTTGGAATCTCTGCAGCATATCCTCGATAATAGCAATAGTCCTAAATGAGAATAAATAAAGTCATGTTCGTGAATGATTTGTAAATGAAGTTTTATCCTTACTTCCTACATGTGAAATGTACAGATTTAGCACTAACCAATATTATTCACCAGATATTCCATTTCCTTTTTATCTACCTATAATGTCTCCCTTCTAACTCTCTTCTGTCTATGAATCCACCAAAAAAATCTTTGCTATAATTCTAACTTCTATAATTTTGACAGAAGCTGTTATAATCAAAGGACATATAAAGAGTTTCCCAAACAAGAAAAAGCTAAAGGAGTTTGTAACCACCAAACTAGTATTACATGAAATGTAGGGTCCTACTAAAGAAGGGAAAAAAAGATAAAAAATAAAACAATAAAGTGACAATAAGTACATATCTATCAATAATTTAAGCTAAAAAAACACAAAATAAATGAACAGGCAGAAGAGAAACAGAAGAAAAAACTTAATGTAAGGTATAAGATTTAACTAATAGTAAAATATTGATATGGGCCCATAAATTATAACCCAAACACCATTCTGAAACAAGGTGTTAATAACAAAGTAACTAAGGGGTTGGGAGGGTGTGTAGGGGACCTTTTTTGTAATTTCTACTTCATCTTTCTTAAAGATAAACTCCCGAAAAAAATAAGGTCTATTAATATTTTCAAAGATATTATTGAGAAAGCAAAAAGGCAAGCCAGGAAATATATGAAATAATACAGAGTACATATATTTTATTGCATTTTTTTAATTTAAATTTTGTTTTTCTTTTTTTTACTTCTATATTGTTGTTTATACTATTACAGTTGTCCCAAATTTACCCCCTTTGTCCCCCTCCACCCAGCTCCTCCCACTCTGTCAGACAATCCCCACACCACCGTTCATGTCCATGGGTCCTGATTTATGTTCTTTGCCTACTCTATTCCCTATGCTGTACTTTACAGCTCCATAACCATTCTTTAATAGAAATTTGTACTTCTTAATACCTTCACCTTTTTCACCTATCCCCCCAATGCCCTCCCATCTGGCAACCATCAAAATATTCTTTTATCTGATTCTGTTTCTGTTCTGCTGGTTTATTTTGTTAGGTTTTTTTTTTTAGGTTCAGTTGTTGATATAGATGTATTTATTGCCATTTTATTGTTCATAGTCTTCTTCTTCTTCAAGATCTTTTCACATTTCCTGTAATACTGGTTTGGTGATGATGAACTCCTTTAGCTTTTCCTTGTCTGGGAATCTCTTTATCCCAATCAAGGGATAAGAGATTAATTAGAGATTAGATTATCTCTAATCTCTTTTAGAATCTGCATATTCTAAATGATTGCTTTGCTGGGTAGAGAGATCTTGGTTGAGAGAGTCGTCCTTACTTTTCAGAACTTTGAATATGTCTTGCCAATACCTTCTGGCCTGCAAAGTCTCTTTTGAGAAATCAACTGACAGTCTTACAGTGGCTCTCTTGTAAGTAACTAACTGTTTTTCTCTTGCTGCTTTTAAGATTCCCTCTTTGGCCCTGGCTGGTGCAGCTCAGTGGCTTGAGTTCCAGCCTATGAACCAAAGGGTAGATTTTGATTCCCAGTCAGGGCACATGCCTGTGTTTCAGGCCAAGTCCTCAGCAGAGGGCATGCAAGAGGCCATCACACACTGATGTTTCTCTCCCTCTCCTTCTCCTTCCCTTCCTCTCTCTCTAAAAATAAGTAAAAAAATAAAATCTTTTTAAAGGATAAAATAAAATGGATCTGCCTTAAAAATGATTCTCTTTTTGTTTGAACATTTGATATTTTAATTGTGATGTGTCTTGGAGTGGGCCTCTTTGGGTTCATCATGTTTGGGACTCTCTGTGCTTCCTGAACTTGTATGTCTATTTCCTTCACCAAGTTAAGGAAGCTTTCTTTCATTCTTCTATCAAATAGGTTTCCAATTTCTTGCTGCTTCTCTTCCCCTTCCAGCACTTTCATGGTTTGAATGTTGGTATGCTTGAAGTTGTCCCAAAGGCTCTTTATGCTATCCTCATGTTTTGGATTCTTTTTTCTTCTTGTTGTTCTGATTGGTTGTTTTTTGTTTCCTTATGTTCCAAATGGCTGACTGGTTCTTGCTTTCATCCAGTCTACTGTTGATCCCCTGTAAATTATTCTTTACTTCAATTACTGTATCCTTTGTTTCTGACATGTTCTTTTTTACGTTGTTGGGTCTTCACTAAGTTCCTTGAGCATCCTTATAATCATTGTTTTGAACTCTGCATGTGATAAATTGCTTTTCTTCATTTTGTTTAGTTCTTTTTATGGGGTTTTGTTCTATTCTTTCATTGGGCCATGTTTGTCTCCTCATTTTGGAAGCCTCCCTGTGTTTGTTTTTATGGCTTAGGTAGAGCTACTATGTCTCTCAGGGTTGACAGAGTGGCTTAATGTAGTAGGTGCCCTGTAGAGTCTAGTGGCACAGCCTCCCCTATTACCTTAGCTGGGTACTCAAGGTATGCCCACTGTGTGGAGCTGTAAACAACATCCATTTCTGGCTGAGCCTTGATTGCTATCGCCATTTCCAAGGTCATCCACCACAGTGTTACCCATGGGTCACACAGCTTTAGCTACAATGCAATCTACAGATGGCTGCTACTTGTGCTGGGCTTGGAGGTACCTGAAAGAGGCAAAGCTGTGAACCAAGGCCAGTTGCTGCTAATGCTGCACCCAGGGCAACATAGCAAGAAGTATGGAGCCTGCTGAAGCCAGACACTTCTTGATTGACAGAATTTAGAAAAATCTGAAGCATGAGTCAAGACAAGCCATTCATATAAAAAAGCCACAGGAAACAGCTTGGGTGGGCCTGAAAATTGAATGGGTCAGAGCCTAAGGGAATCACCAGGGTGGGGCAAACGGTGTGAAGCAGGTTGACAGAATCTCAGAAATGGCACCTGCCTGCTGGCTATGTGAAGATAGGGCTCAGAAAAGGAACAATGGTCTCTGCCAGCATTTCTCTCTGGGAGAAAACTTCCCCCTAGCACTTATCCTGATGCCAGACAATTCAGTTTTCTTCCTATATGTTTCTGATGCCATTCAGCCTATTGTCCCAGCACTGGAGCTCAGAAAGAGTGAGTCCAAGTAAGTCTCTGTGAAGACCTTTTAAAGGAACTGCCTGTCTTCCACAACTTCAATCCCTGCTGGTTTTTATAGCCATAGGTTATGGAAACTTAATTTCCTGGCACTGGAACCCTGGGTTGGGGAGTCTAGTGTGGGGCTGGGACCCCAAGCTCTTAAGATATCCCTCCTGATTTTTATCTGCCACACTTGGGTGTGGGACCAGCCCATTTCACATCTCTCTCTCTTCTACCAGTCTCTATGTGGTTTCTTCTGTAATTCTGTAGCTATAGGACTTCTGTTTAGCTCAGTCTGATGATCTGAATGATGGTTGTTCTATAGTTTACTTGTAATTTTGATGTGTTTTGTGTGAGGAGCTGAGCCATATTTACTTATACTGCCATCCTAACAGGATGTCCTCTCATTCCATTTTGATTTGAAAATTTTATTTTTAATTACATTTCACATTAATATTATTTTACATTAGTATAAGGTGTACAGAATAGTAGTTATAATTTGCAATGTGTTTTTGTTGATATTTTCAGTACCCTCCTGGCACCATATATAGTTATTACAATATTATGGACTATATTTTCTATACTGTATTCTACATTCCTGTGATTAGACTATAACTGTCAATTCCTACTTTTTAATCCTTCCACCTTGCTCATCCAGTCCCCCTAACCCCTCCTCCTCTGGCAATCATTGTTCTGTTCTGTATCTATGTACATTGCATATATTTTAAAAAGAACTTGCACCCAAAGTATAAAAGAGCTGCTATAACTCAGTAATAAAAACATATACTAACCCAATTAAAACTAAGACTTTTTGATAATAAAAACTTACTATAAAGCTACACTAATCAAACAGGTTGTTACTGGAATATAACAAATGTAGACAAATGCAATAGAATTAAGGGTTTACAAATAACCTTTTACATCTATAGTTAATAAACATTTTTAGCAAAACTTCCAAGGTTATTCAATGGGGAAAGAATAGTCTCTTCAACAAATTGGACTAGGAAAACTGAATACCCATGTGAAGAAGATAATATTAGATCATTATTATCAGAAAATGCTCTGCATCTCACAGGTTCTTCATCTTCCAACTGCAACACTATACTTAAGATATTATTCCCAGTCAGAGAGCTAAGTTGAATGTGAGACTTGCCTTCTGTGCATCGTTTCTCTGACAGAAAAATCCCTCATGCCTGTCGTCAAACGTCTAAAAACAGGTACCTCATGTACAATATTTTGTCATGCTCTCTACTCGTAAACAGTGAGTATGACAGATGCTGTATCAGTTACCATGTTTGTAATTTCTCAATCGCAATAAAGAAATAGAATTCACCAATCACCTGTCAGACATTTGTTTCTTCCAAATCATGTGTTCTGGCAAAATAAGAATCATACAGACTAAAGCTGACTTTCTCACATACTTTGAAAAATTTATTGACTCCTACCTGTGTCTTATTTTTTTTAATGGGAGAAAAGCATATAAACTTTATTGAATTTCCCACTAATACATCTAGGTAGTTTAAATGACCTTCTTGGATAAGTGATTTCTGAATTATAAATTTAAAAAGTAGTTTTTCTAGCTCTGGCCAGATGGCTCAGCTGGAGCATCATCCCATACACCAGAAGGTTGTAGGTTCAATCCTCAGTCAGGGGCCATACAGGAGGCAACTGATCAATTCTCTGTCTCTCAAAAATAAACACATACATTCTCAGGTGAGGACTAACAGAAAAGTAGGTATTCTATTGAAGATGATTTAATTATAATTGCCACATTATATTTGTATCTGTGATCTGTTTGCCCAATAATTCTGTGTGCAGTACAAAACATTCTTTTTTCCCACCAATGACCCGTTGATGACATAAAAATATAATCTACACAGACTAAAGAAAAACTTACCTTTATAAATGAAGAATCTGGATGCAATGTTCCTGAGCTGCTATATGAATATACCAGGAAACGAGGGTCTAAAAATGACCTAATTCAACCAAAATAATGACACTTCATTGTAATAATTTCATTCATGAAAGTAATTTACAGAATCATGAAATTAAACAAAATTTACTTTCAATTATACAAGCTCAAATATCCAAGAATTAAACGGGTTCATTTCTGCATTATTTAACTAGCTTTCTGATGGCATAATGTATATGGAAGAAAAAATGATAACCAGTACAACCAGATACAAGTATAGATACTGTAATGACACAGCTTTAGCTCTAGTGAAAAACAGAGCTTTCCAATCCCCACAACAAAGTTTTTCTTTTAGATTTAACCATCAATAAATTTAATAGCATAAATATGTTACTTAACATTTGCTAACAAATACCCACTGACTGATAAAAACAAAAAAGATATATGCTTTTATCGTTACTTTTCACGAAGTGAAGCTGTGGTAAAAACAGCCCGTCTTTTCATTGTCTTAATAGCATGACACCTCTTATCCATGCTCCCTATTCACCCAATCTCACTCCAGGGGACTTTTTTCTGTTTCCCCTGATAAAAAACATCCTCAAGGGAAAATGCCATTGTGGAGGAGGTGAAACAAAAAATGGCAAAAGCACTAAAAGTCATAAAAAGTGACAAGTTCAACAACTGATCTGAGCAGTGAAAAAAAGTCTCCATAAGTGTATTGCATCAAATGGAGAGAATTTTGAAGGTTACTGAAGCTTAAACACGTACGAATAAATACACAATTTTTTATAAATTCGGGGTTTTTTGGGTCCCCCCAGTATGACAAAGAATGAAGATACAAGGAAAAGTAAAGAACTGTGGTTACTTTTGTGGTCTACCATATTACAATAAATAAAATGTATGATGGAATATACGGTATTGAGTCTTTACATCTATAAACCAATACTCAAAACATTATTATTTATCTCTGGGCACATAGATGAATGAAGAAAAAATATGACAGAACAATATGTGTCAACATCACAATTGTGATGAGCACTGGGGATTGAGAGAAGTGAATAGGTCTGGGTAGGGGAATAACAGATTTCACTATATCAGCCATGTACACTTCTTTTAAAATAGTGTAGACACAATGCTTACATGTATGTCACTAATTGTTTAACGTAGTCTCACAATTATCCATTTTATTTTTCATCACTCAAAAGAAAAAGCCAGTATAAAAATACTGCACTAATATAATCTATGGACTTTGGGTGATAATGACATGTTGATTTAGTATAAACAATTATAACAACCTATCATTTTAATGGGGAATGTTGATAACAGGGGAGATTCTACATATGTGAGGTAGGAAGCATATGGGAAACCTCTGTACAGCCAGTCAATTTTGCTGTAAACCTAAAATTGCTCTACAAAATAAAGAATATTAAAATAGTAATGAGAAAACTATATGAATAGGCAAGTCTCATTCAGGTAAATGCAAATAGCCAATAAATGTTTAGACTAATTTTTAGGGAAATACAAACTGATGTTGAGGTGAGATAGAATATTTGAGTCCTCACGCAGACTTTGCAAACCTAAATTGCTATCATCTTTTCAGAAAGACACTGGCAATGTCTCTCAAAAACTTCATATACTATAAAATGTGAGTAAAGAGTGCCTACCTTAGAGGTTTCTGTGACAATTACATCATCACTACATGCAAATTGCTTAGAAATATGCCCAGCAAATGGTAGGTGTTCAATAAATGTTAGTTACTTTAATTGTTTTGTTATTATTTTCAATATTATCATTAGTATTCATACTTCTTGAGCCAGAAACCTATTTCTTAATATCAAGGCTATAAAACAAAAACTGTATTATATAAGAATATACATACAACAATGTGTATTATAGGATTTAATAGTGACAATCTCTGGAAATAACCTCATTACCTATCACTATTACATACTATGCAATGCTATCTACTAAAGAATGAGTTATAATATACACATACAGAAAGAAAAAAGCACCATTATTTATTATGACCTGTCATTTGCAATACTGTTTCCATTTTTGTAAAAACACAAATTTTGGTAGGTTTTATTTAAGGGAAATGTAATATTTTAATAGAAAATTGGGGAAATAGACACATAAAGTTAATATTGATTTTTGAGAGTAAGATAGAAAACAATATTTAAGACATTAAAAATACTACCACAGCACAATGAGAAAAAATTATTGTAGAATATCAAGTAATATGCTTAAAATCACATCAGTATGTCAAATAAGATGAAGACAGATGAAGTTAAGCATGGACAAAAAAATTATTCCTTTAATTGTTGCAATTATGGTTACATTAAGGAGTTACACAGAGTAATTTTTATCTGTCCAACATACCTTAACATTTACATCATTAAATTAAAATTTGGTTTCACGTTAGATTTTAAATCTCAAGATGAAGACAGAAATTCCAATCTGACATGAATCACAAAGAGGATATAACATGTTAAATAAATGTAATATTCACACTTTTGTTTAGTCTCAATATAGGGTAGTGACTGTACAAATTTAAGAAACTGAAAGCTGTATGGAAAAAATGGCCACTTACTGTTTTTCAAGATGAAGAGTGTATGTTTCTCCATCAATTTTGATAGCATAAGTGACCTACAACAAAGTGTTCAGAGACAAAGTAATTATTAGAAATTTAAAATGTTTAAAAGTCAAAAGCCATATTTTTTTCAATGTACTTTTTCATAAACAGATTATATCCTTCATGTCTCAAAAGTATATGAATATATAGAAGTCTATTGCAATTTTTCTTTAACTTCAGGATGTATGACCAAAAAATCAAGGGGTCTAAATCTATTCCAAATTAAGCGTGTTGATCATTAGCATTTATTAAATATTATTATTAATTTAAATTTCAATTTTAAATGATTACATTTATAAATATTGGATAAACTTGAATTTTATTTTCTTTTTTCTACTTTCCTACTTTGCTGTAATATGAATACACACACACACACACACACACACACACACATATTGCAATTGTATAAATATGACGTCTCTTTGCTGTCTGTCGTGCCACAGAGAAAAGTTTTGAAATAGAACAGGGATCCCCAACCTGGGAGCAGGGGAAGTTACTTGTCTGTGGCCTGTTAGGAACCAGGCAGCCCAGCAGGAGGGGAGCAGCTAGGGAGAATCTTGGGCAGCATTACTGCCTGAGCTCTACCTCCTGTCTCCTTTCTTTCCTTCCACGCCCCACCCTGTCCCAGCCCCAGCCCCAGCTGCTGCCCCACCCATGGAAAAATTGGCTTCCACAAAACCAGACCCTGGTGCCAAAAAGGTTGGGGACCCCTGAAATAGAGGGCTTCACCCTGACTCGTGTCCCAGCCAGGGTACAGACCTGGGCTGCCAGTTCTGTCCCAGGTTGGAACAAATCAAGAGGAAACCAATGACGTTTCTCTCTCACATCAATGTCTCTCTCCCTCTTTTTCACTCTCCCTTCCCCACTTTCAAAAAATTTAGGGTATTCTACTAAAACAGAATTAAAATATCTCATGAAAATTTATATCTGCTCTTAGACACCTTAGAGTCACTTGTTCAGATATCAGTAATTCATTACAGAGCTCACATAGCACAGAGGAACAAATGTTCTAAAGACAATAATTTGGCAGATAGAGCTACAAAAGATGGTATTAAAACATGGCAGGCTTCAAACTTATTGTAGAAACTCCACTTAGAACACAATGAGAAACTTTTGTTCACATTCAAAAGTATGCTTTTTGAAACAAACTAGACAAATGGACTATAAAAGGAACTAGAAGTAATTTGACAAGACTATAGGAATTACTAACAAAATAACTCCTTTGCTACGGTCCTTATTTCCTTGGTTAGTGTTGTGTTGTAAAAAAAATTAAAATTAAAACATAATGGCCTGAATAAAAGAAGGACTTATTTTTTAATTACTTTATTGTTGTTCAAGTACAGCTGTCTGCATTTTCTCCCTACCACTCCCCACCCCCGACCCCAGCCTAACCCACCTCCCTCCCTCTCTTCCATCCTGCCCCTTGGTTTTGTCCACCTGTCCTTTACAGAAGTTCCTGAAAACTCTTCTCCCTACTGTCCCCTTCCCCCTCTGCCCTTGCTATTGATAGATTTTTCTTAATTCTTATGTCTCTGGTTATATTATATTATAAAATATAATATATTTTATATTTCTTTTGTCGAGGAGGTTCCAGTTAAAAGTGAGATTATACACTATTTGTCCCTCACCACCAGGTTTATTTCACTTAGCATAATGCTCTCCAGATCCAACCATGCTCTTGCAAAGGGTAGAAGCTCCTTCTTTCTCTCTGCTGCATAGAATTCTATTGTGTAAATGTACCATAGTTTTTTGATCCACTCATTTGCTGATGGGCATTTAGGTTGCTTCTAGCACTTGGCTTTGTAAATTGCACTGCTATAAGCATTGGGGTGCATAGGTTCTTATGGATTAGTGTTTCAGGGTTTTTAGGGTATAATCCCAGCAGTGGAATTGCTGGGTCAAAAGGCAGTTCCATTTTTAGTTTTCTGAGGAAATTTCATACTGTTCTCCACGGTGGCTGCATCAATCTGCATTCCCACCAACAGTGCACCAGGTTTCCCTTTTCTCCACAATCTCTCCAACACTTGTTTGTTGATCTATTTTTGATGGCCGTTCAGACATATTTGAAGTGCTATTTCATTGTGGTTTTAATTTGTATCTCTCTAATGGCAAGTGATGCTGAGCATCCTTTCATATGTCTCTGGGCCCTCTGTATATACATTCCTTGGTTAAGTGTCAGTTCAACTCTTTTGCCCATTTTTTAATTGGGTTTTTTGTTTTTCTGGAATGGATTTGTGTGAATTCTTTATGTATTTTGGACATCAAACCCTTGTCTGAGGTATCATTGACAAAATGTTTTCCCCTACAGTTGGTTCTTTTTTATTTTAATGCTGATTTCTTTAGCCATGCAGAAGCTTTTTAGTTTGATGAGGTCCCACTTGTTTATTCTTTCCTTAATGTGCCTTGCTCTAGGAGACATATCAGTGAAAATACTGCTGCATGTAATATCTGGGATTTTGCTGCCTATGTTCTCCTCTTCAACTTTAATGGTGTCACAACTTTTATTTAAATCTCTTATCCACCTTGAATTTATTTTTGTGCATGGTATAAGTTGGTATTCAAAAGTTTCATTTTTTTGCATGTAGCTGTTCAGGACTCACACCATTTGAAGAGGCTATTTTTTACTCCACTTTATGTTGCTGCCTCCTTTGTCAAATATTAATTGACCATAGAGACTTGGGTTTATTTCTAGGCTCTCTGTTCTGTTCTATTTGTCTGTATGTCTGTTCTTAAGCCAGTACCAGGCTGTTTTGATTACAGTGGCCTTGTAATACAGTTTGATATCAGGTATTGGGATCCTTTTACTTTCCTCTTTCTCAAAATTGCTGCAGCTATTCAGGGTCACATATAAATTTTTGAAGTATTTGTTCTTTATCTGTGAAGTATGCCATTGGTACTTTAGTAGGTATTGTGTTGAATCTATAAATTAGTTTGGGTAGTATGGACATTTTGATGATGTTAATTCTTCCAATCCATGAACATGGCACTTGTTTCCGTTTGTGTCTTCCTTAATTTCTTTCTTCAGTTTGTATAGTTCTCTGAGTACAGGTCTTTTACCTCCTTGGTTAGGTTTATTCCTAGGTATTTTATTTTCCTTGTTGCTGTATCAAATGGGATTTTTTCCCTAATTCTGTTTCTGATGTTTCATTGTTGGAATACAAAAATTCCTTTGATTTCTGGATATTGACTTTGCATTTACTGTTTTGCCAAATTCATTTATTAGGTTGAGCAGTTTTGGGGTGGAGTCTATAGAATGTTCTATGTAGACTATCATGTCATCTGCAAACAGTGACAGTTTTGCTTCCTCCTTTCCAATTTGGATGCCTTTTATTTCCTTCTTTTGTCTGATGCTGTAGCTAGGATTTCCAGTGCTATGTTGAATAGGAGTAGGGGAAGTGGACAACCTTCTCTTGTTCCTGATCTTAGTGGGAAAGATTTTAGTTTTTGCCCATTGAGTCTGCTGTCGGCTGTAGGTCTGTCATACATGGCCTTTACTATGTTGAGGAATGCTCCCTCTATTCCCACTCTTCTGAGTGTTTTTTATCATAAATGGGTTCTATATCTAATCAATTGCTTTTTCCATATCTATGGACATGATCGCATGATTTTTATCTTTGCTTTTGTATATGCAATGTATTATGTTTATTGATTTGTGAATATTGTGCTATCCTTGCATCCCTGGGATGAATTTCACTTGCTCATGGTGTATGATCTTTTTAATGCATTGCTGTATGTGGTTTGCCAATATTTCACTGAGGATTTTAGCATCTATGTTCATCAGCGATATTAGCCTGAAGTTTTCTTTCTTTGTTGTGTCTTTATCTGGTTTTGGGATTAGTGTGATGCTGGCTTCATAAGAGGAGTTTGGGAGTCTTCCATCTTCTTGGATTTTTTGGAATAGTCTGTGAAGGACAGGGTTAGCCCTCCCTTAAGTGCTTTGTAAAATTCTCCTGAGAAATTGTCCATTCCAGGGCTCTGTTTGTTGGGAGTTTTTCGATTACTGCTTCAATTTCATTAGCTGTTATTTGTCTGCTCAGGCTTTCTGCTTCTTTTTCCTTGAGTTCTGGAAGATTATACTTTTCTAGAAATTTGTTCATTTCACCTAGGTTTTCAAAATTCTTGGCATATAGTTTTTTACAGTAATTTCTTACAATCCTTTGTATTTCTGTGGTATCAGTTGTAATCTCTCCTCTTTTATTGATTGATATTTTATTTATTCCTTTATATAGCTCTCATTTCTAATATTACATAGTTTTTCTCTTCTTTCTATTTTCCTTAGTCTACCTCATCAAAACATCTGTCCTATACTTTTTTCAGAAGTCAACTTTTGACATTGTGAATCCAGGCTATTTTAGCTTAATTTTCTCTTTCATTAATTCATTAATTCATTAAGTTTAGTTACATCTTTAACTTTTTTTAAAGTTATGTTTAATTTTAACTTCTACTTTTCAGGCTTTTTCACTTATTTAAGTATTTGTAATAATAAACCATTCCTTATACCATCTAAGAGCATGGCTCAAATTTTGGTTTGTACTTTTTTCATTCTTGACCATTATTCATTATTTAATATCCATTACAATAACGATTTCTCCTTTAACCCATGAATTATGTACAAGTGTATTTTTAAATTACCAAATACATTTTTCAGCCTTTTTGATAAATTTTAAATTAATTAAATTGTTACCAGATAGTGAGTTTCGTACCATTTGATTTTTAATGTTTTTACTTTCTCCTGTCAGTTTTGTTGAATGACCTGTACATTCTTGAGAAGCATGTGCATTATTTACTGTAGGGACAGAGATAACAAGCAGGATCAGAAAAGCTGAATGTTTCTGACTCAGTTAAAAGAAGAGCTCTGAAATTTATAATGTAGTGTTTAGGGTTCAAAACTCCCCTGGCCAAAGTTGGCCTCCTTAGTGTATTCCTACCTAGATAGACTAGGACTGCTTGGCTTCTTAGAGTCACAGATTGTTTTTTAAGGAATTTCACCAAGGGCAAGATTCCTCCCATAGGT